CAATCATTTCACGGCAAAATATCGCGCCATTCAGGACCCAAAGCTTCGGCCATTGGGCCATTAGCATTTCATTAATTTTGAGTAATCCATCAATTTCTATTGCCTTGCATAGAGAAACGAGTTTTTCACTAATGACCTTCGAGCCTCTTTCGAGGTGAATGCGTTTACGGTCCAAGCATAGTAATTATCGATGTTGGACTGTGTCGGTTCTTTTCTGATTCTACCAAGAAGCATGGGGCATGGGGCATGGGGTGAAATAACCCAGCCATATAAAATCTAAAATAAATGCATCGGCCTATTTTGGCTTCGGATATTCGGAAATCCGTAGACTGAAACCGGAACGCGATTATATTTTTGCGATGGCTTTTTCACCCAGGTTTCCAGACGATATCCCTGTTACACCATGTTTCAAAAAACAGTATAAGATTCGTTAAATACATGTTATACCCGGTGGCTATCGATCGATGGCCCGTTGATTACTAGCCATACATTGCTACTATGACCGTCAGTTGACGTAGTCCTGAATTGTGTGGTAGACTCGATTTGATAGAATTCTAGTTCGAAACACAAAAATTTGGAGCACAGAAATCTGATCAAGTACTTTCCTTTAAATAAGCAGTAAAATGACCGCAAAACTGTGTCGTACAGACACAATTCTGTCGAGGCAGACACATTTCTATCAGTGATATACTGATAGATTTTTATTTTCACATAACCGACCGAAGTTATAATGCCCGGGATAGAATTCAGGACCGAAACGGATTCCTCGTAGTTTTAAAAGTGAGAGTGCTAAATTTAGGCCACACTTGCATGTCTTTTATCTTTCCGCGCTGAGATAGCATCGCGTGTGCGCATAACATCGGTCGGTAATGTTTTTTTGATTATCTACTTCCACTGTGTTATTTGCAAACAAAGAAAATATAACACAGATGACAAACAAAGAAATTCAAGTTGTCATCTAGTATTTAATTAAAACAATGTGTGTAATAAAAGAAATATTTTGTTAATGACAGAGGAAGACATGGGTTCCACTTGATGGAACTAAAACATAAATTAGAGATGCGCTGTAGGCCCTATTTTGACATTGGACATTCGGAAATCGTAGTATACCTACTTTGGGACGGGGCCCACCAACCCACCATTTCAAATCCAGATTTTCCAGATTCTAATTTGTTTAAAGGAAAATAACAAAGATCGACCAACTAATGGACCCAGTGGGAATCGGACCTACGACACTGGACCAACGCGTTATTTTAATAGATTCATAAAAAACCATCTCGCATCTTTTACTGGGATTTGAAGGATAACATTTACAATTGGTTGAAATCTAATAAAAAATTCTTAGTTAAAATTAATTAAATAATGTCACGTTTTAAACATTTTATGTAATTTCGTTCAATCGGAAACACATTTAACGAATACTAACGCTAGTCTTGAATGATGTTCTGTATCTGTCTAGACTTTTATTATTTGTGACTCAAAACAAAGATTAATTTCGAATATTACTCAACATTAACAAAGTTCTAACGTTAAGTTTATTATACTTAGCGAACATTTCCCCGTGAGGCATGGGGAAAACACATTTCTGTGTCTGTTTCACTGATCGGCATTATTTGTAAGTAGTTGATCAACTGTACAGACAGAAACAATGTATTGTTCCTCCGGGATTCAAACCCAGGACCTCTCGTGCTTAACTAGCTAGGTAACACGTTCAACCATTTAACTACAGAGGCGGTAAATTTTACTTACATTAGTCTAATATAAATGAGACATTTCAATTCGATTATAGGAATTACATAAATTTCCTCGTCATTGTTTACAATTACGGGTTACATATATTACCGGTAACATATAAGGTTTAAAGCTGTTTATTAATTTGTAAGAATTTACAATTCACTTAGAACGAGAAATACATTGTTTTATAAATACTTTGGTGTGCCTCAGGCTATTTTATATAAAACTTGGATTAGATAGGGTTACAGTTTAAGATGTGATTTAATAGTTTATTTTTAAACAAGGTTAAACTTTTTGAAATTTTAACGCTGCTGGGCAAATTGTTATACAAATGCACTCCCTTAACCATGATGGTTCGTTTCCCATAATTGGTTCTAATTTGTATCGTCTTTAAATCATTTTGTTTGCTCAAGTTGTAATAGGCGTTTCGTAGTGCCAAATGTAATTTTTCTAATTAGGATATAGGTACAGTATTTGTGTAAGTTTTTTAAATTAAGAACCTTATTTTTGCGATATAGTGTTTTTGTTGCAAGTGAGAAAGAATAGTGAAATAAGACCTTGATAATTTTATTTTGATATACATCATTAAACATTTCAGCCTTTTAATTTCCCACAGCGCAATTATGTCGGCTGGGCACAAAATTAGTGATGGGGAGGGGGACAGAGGGTTTAACGTACTCTCTGAAGGACGAAGTGATGATACTTCCACTTATTAATTCTTCCTTAGAATGAAAACCTTTCGAAACACTTGGTCAGACGCTAGACCGAACGATCTTTAGCACGAGGAGGCAGTTACACCGTTTAATGAGTAGAATAGATCACAGAAGGATCTAAATAAGATGGACTTAAATCTTATTTAGATCCTAAAGTTATATATAAAGGGAGACTCTATTTTCACAATGTAGAAGATTATGAAAATAACTGTTTTAATTCATCAATTCTTGATGTTGTACAACTGATACAAATAATAAATAATATATATCTTGAGTTAATAAATCGTGAATATTCCCTTTTTACACATTGCGTTAAGCGCAGGAGGTCCTGGGTTTGAATCCTGAGAAAATCATTCTTTCGGTCGAGTCTGGTCAACTACTTGACTAAGCTGATGAGTGAATGTGAAAAAAGTAAATTAACAATATAAATATTTATTAAGAGCGTTTTAATAAGGGCTGTTTCCCTTACCACTAGTCAATAAAAACACATGAGCCTCATTTATCAAAAGTCGGTCAAAAACCGGATGCGACATATCTTTACCATCTACGTCGCCAGAACACATTTCAAAGAATGAATCGATATAGTCTTTTCGTATTTTGCGATTATATATAAACTACAATCTTTGCGGAATTTTCGTCTTTTTGGCCATTACAACTAAGATAGGTTTTCGTCTGCGCTTTTTGATTGACAGTGGCCCAGAAGCCAGTCTCGCGAAACGCAACCACATTGCAATATAAAAGGAAGTAATAGTATAATGTCTTTATCATATTCCGTTTGTCACTGAAACAGTTTGGTCTTGTTCCGCTCCTCATGATGTCCAGCAAATATGTGGTGAGTGAGCTTTATTTGCGAGTGATTGCGTTGCGTTTGTCTTATCTGATAAGAATTAAGTGAGCATATTCTAAACACATGTGATTACTAAGTTTACATTTAAACATAGTTTTAATACCGACAATATAGAATATGTTTAACTGACAAGAAAGTGGCTTGGATGGGATATTACTAAGCTGTATTCATTTGTTTTTTATTGTGTAGCGTTTCATTTGTTTTTATTATGACGTTTTTATGATTTCTTTAATATATGTACGACTTTTTATATTGTGCATGGAGAAACAGGTTTTTAATATATACGATAACAATACAGATAACAGCTTTACTAAATTTAGTAAAAAAAAAAATTATGTGCTCTACTTCGTCATCCATATATAATTCTAATACGGATCTACAGAAGTAATAAATTCTTATTTGAATCTCTACATTTAATTGACTTACGAACTCTATATCTATAGTTTATACGCGTACAATTAAACATTTTTATTGTCTATTTTAACTACGACCTTTTTTTAATCATTTTATTTTCGAAGTTTTTGTTGATTTGGACCAACAATGGTCTTGCATAACCATGTTTGATTTTAACAATGTTTTAATTGACATCTCTTTTCTTAATAAAAATATGTTAAGAATTTTGTCTATCACCAACACATTTATGACGTATGTATTAACATTACATACTAACATGTTAATTAAGTAGTTCTTACCTCAAAATATTGTTATAGACCTAGGTCCTAGATAGGTACACTAAAATATTATATTTTACAGCCCGGAAAAATTTTCATTAGTGGTGTTGCTTTACTAATATGAGCAACCGATATTCGTGCGTGTGGTCAAGAGTTCGATTTTCAATCGTGCACCAAAATAATTAATTTTGTTGTAAGATATCTTTAAAAAAAGAAATCATCTTGCAATTAATTAATTAATTTATCATGCTATCTAAAGCTAAGATATGATGACAGCATATCTTGTTAGATGTTATATGGTTGGGCTTCTTCACCACAATATAGACAATCTGTCTTAAGAAGGTCCGAAACTCAGCAGATATTATATCTTATTTCCCGTTTAAAACGGTTTTATTTAGCTCGACCCGTGCGGAATTTATTTATTTGGGTCAAAATTAGAAAGATTGATCTGAAGTTTGATACACACATTTAATTTAGATGCCAATACAATATAATAAAATCGATAACATTATAAATCCAAGATGGCCGCCGACACAAAACGGTGGATTACATATTTTTCCTTAACCCCCTCAATACCGACGTTTCGTATGCTTTGCATCAGCCGTGGTCACGGGGAGACAAAGCATCCGAAACGTCGGGCCGAAGTTGAAAATATTTTTTTAAATAATTTTAATTAATATATCGCGTTTTAAACCGTTAAAGTGTTTTATTTAAATGTGTACTACTTGCGTAAACTATAGACAGTATTTAATTAACCAACTTACACGATGATTATGTCAAAATTTAAAAACGTTTGTAGTTTTCAGTGCACAAAAAATTAAACCGTTTAACTTAAAAGTTATTTTTAAGTTGATACTTATTTGAATATGAGAACTGTTTGTGACGGTGTTTTTCACTAAAACATTTAATTCAAGTACTTATTTGTATTCATTTACAATTATATCTGGATATTTTAACCATAAACGTATACATTATATTTTTCCAAGTCCATTGTCCATATGTGTCCTTAAATAGGCTTTTCTCTATAAGCGTGAAATGATACTGTGCACTTCCTACCATGGTGGCTTCGCAGTTACTCATGTGAGCCCGGAAGTTTTGGTTCACAGCGAACAATCATTCTGCAGTTACGAAACTCAACTGGCTGTAAAAATAGAGAAAAGTAAAAAAGTGAGAGGTTATTCTCCTTTTTTTGTTGAAAGTTGCGACAATGTTATGGACAGGAAATGGAATGGAGCTCTTTTACTTTCATGTATGATAAAATATTCTGTGTTTAAAAGTGTTCAGGAGTTTTAGATAGGCGACTTTAATACAAGGTATACACTACATACACTTGTAAAACTCAATCAGGATATTTACCTAGTTTTAATAATAAACCTCTTTATTCGGCATATGTCGTACAATGCTAGAAAGAAATAAATGTAATTACAATAAAATAAATAATACAAAAAGATTAAATTGAATTTGAAGAAAAGCTATGCCATATAGGTGTCTAATTTAATAATAATAAATTCCTTTATTTAGCTAAATGCTAGAAAAGAATAAATTTAATTCCCACAAAATAATTAATCTAAAAAGATTCAAATAAATTTGAAGAAACGTGCCAAGAGGGTCTTATGTCAGCATAAGTCGCAGCACAGTTACAAGACTGATTTTCAGCAAAACCCTACTTTAAAATAAGTTCAACTAATCTATATCACGTCTTAATCGTTCGTAAAGTGTTTTATTACAGACAGTATATAAAACTATTCCCTCTCCTCTTGTCCTTCTGTTAGATAGCGATCATACAACCATTTGCTTTGGATATTTAAAATTGAGATATTGATACAGAAAAAGAAGATATGGAGGTACACCTTAGAACACAATGAAATCGTCGATTTATTTTATTCGAACCTGTCCTAGCCCTCGACCCGTTTTAAATAGCCATTCCTGGCTGTCATACGACCGATGACCTTTTAAATAGATTGATTATGAAATAAACAATTGCTATTTCCAGTTGCTGCTAGGATGTGTGGTGGCGTTGTCATCACTAGTCACCGCGGGTGGCCACGGCGGAGGTCACAAGAAGGTCATCATCCACGTCCCCCTTTTCGTTAAGCATCATCATCATAAACATACAATAGTCAAGCATATTCATCACAAGAGCGGTGGAGGAGGCGGTGATGATCACTACAAAGTCCTGGGTTATACGTATGGCGAGCCAAAACCTGCGCCTCATTTTGGAGGAGGTAAGAATACTTATTTTATTTATCATAGAGTAAGGGAGCATGCGCTTAATGGAAGGTAAAATATCGCAACCATATAACATCTCAACAAGATGAGCTGTCGTCCTATTTTGGCATTGGTTAATCGGCAATCCACAGTCTGAAATTGAAACGGAGTAAACTTTCCTCTATGGACGGTGATTTGATTGATAAATAAAGGCGGCCTTACCGCTAAGTAGCGATCTATTCCAGGCGACCTGAAGTACAGGAGAAAAGAAATAGAAAATAATTTATTTATAGGATTTGACATAGTTTAATATATTTTGTACGACTACGACGTAGAAAGAAATGGGGTTTGCTTTTATTGATTTGTCTACCAATTTTTCGTACATAATTTCGTAATATAACTTGACTTAAGCAAAGCATTCTTTGCTTATGTCAGGTTAGTCAAGTAATAAGCAAACGATAGGCGCTCAAACGGTAAGAATAAACTTGTATTTTTCCATTTCCTTCGGAACATATTAATTTTTTTTTGTTCATGGTAGGCAATCAATCGTATAATGAATTAAAAGTATATTGAAAAATTAGTTCGTTCATATACCTAATGGCAGATTACGGTTTTCACAGAATATGAACAATATATTTATAGTTTTTGTCCATAGATTAATATTCAAAATAATCCGAGTTCATCATAAATGTTTAGTTTTAATAAAATTATAAACCGGAAATAAAATCTCATCTGAGAGCATACCGGTCTGTGTCTGTTTTAATTAGTTTAGTTTAACGTTCTTACGGGAGGACATGTCTCCTTAAGATTTTGTTTCTTTTTAAAAAACAAAGTTATTTTTTTTGTTTATTTTAAATAAAACACTTCTAACAGTCTCAAAACTAACACATTTCGCGTTATAAATCGTTTGACGTGTTTTATTTCAATAGTAGTAGGTAGTAGGTACTCGCGTAAATCTCAGATTCCTTACTTTCGATGTTTTAATGTGTTTTCAAAATTATTAAAAAAATCTAATGGATTTTACAGTCAATTGACTTGAATTTTCATTGAATTTAGAAAATATATTGGGACACAATACGCCGAAACCATAGATGATTCTCCGGGATTCAAACGCAGGTTTCCTAATGCTTCTCAGTCATTCAGACAGCGATAAAATGAGATTTTTCCTAATAAAAAAAATACGACATTTCATTACTATTAAAAAAACATATTTGAAACCAGGTCACGGTTGGCACGCCGCTGAAGAGAGCCAACACCTAGACAGTCCAGTCAGCTTCGATGGCGGAGATCACGGTATCTACTCACTATCAGACGAATACAGCCAACATGGGTACTGAGGTCAAGAACACTGAAAAATGATACTTCCCGCAACGGTCGTAAACCTCGAGTGACATTTAATACCTCAATAGGATAAAACTAAAAACTCCACTCAGATTTCGTTCGCTAGTTAACGTCAACTAACCAAATAAACATGTTAACTGGAGCCAAGTTGACAGTTTCAAAACGATAATGATTTTCGAAAGGTATGAGATAAATATAGAATTGTTTTTAGTTACATCGGAAACAGAAAACACTTTTTAAATAGTTTTAACCGCTTATCCCCCCCCCCCCTTCTGCTGCTGCTGGTCTCCACGGCTACTGAAAAGCATCTGGAATGACAGCCCGTAGTTAAAAATAAGTTAACGTTACTCGTTTTAAAACAAAAAAGTGTTTTATATACATTATAAACAATACTAAACCAAGCGTCACATCTGTATATATTTGTTTTTGGAATTCCGATATCGTGCTAAAATTTTCAAATTGGCTACAGTCCTTGGCTACGGATAGACATCTTGTAGATTTTACAGTCTTAAACCAACTTTGACTATGTAGTTAGATGCTGTTATGCTTTAAAATTTTCATGTAGAATTTCGAGTATACCACGTAGAAAACTGCTTAGCTCTCTACTATTTAATCTTTAAGCGGTAAGAATTTAAACTTATGGAAGATTGAAAAACTTCGACTGACTTCCAGTCCATTCCTTAAAGGTTTTCCTCCACCACTCCAATCGGGTGCTCATAAAGACCAAGATTTTAAGAACCGGAAGGAGAGAGGCATTTATTTGAACCTCAAAACGTTGCAAATGAAAACCCAACTCTTCCTAAATACGAGGATTAATTTGATCCCGGCCAAATATATTGTTATTTCGTTGTTTTTATACAATTTAATTTATGACTGATATTTCAAACAAAATACATAGTATTATAAATACATAGCTAGATATATATTTTATCTGTGGTTAAACATTAGAATTATTGTTTTTGCTCATTGGGTCGTAGGTTCGATTACGTACTGGGTATATATGTTAAGAATATGTTTTTAAATCATAATAAGATTATTAGACATTTTAGACACCATAGCAAAAAAGAAGAATATATTATAAAAGGATAGAGTAAAATATTGTTGACTTGTTACAATAACAAGATATTTTTAACGGGTAACTTTTTTTCAGGCAATCTTTTCCGTTTTTCGTGCTTTACAGAAATATTAAGTTAATTTGTGGTTATTTAAATTGATATGTCTATATGTTACCATTGCAGAAAAAACAAGTTGTCCTTTGATATATTGCAACTGTTTTACTGTAAAGTATTATTACTATAAGCTATAAGTAAATAAATGTTACCTGTTTTTATGTGTTTGTTGTATGTTGTGAATAAATGATAAAATAATAAACTTTTTGTCTATTTCATTTTTAAACAGCTTTTATTATTTACTTTGATCGAAAAAGAAATGATATACAAGCCAATAATATAAAAAATAATGGTTCGCTTTTTTAAAGTTATTATTAGAGATGGGCGGATTTCTCGGTTGTAACCCGGTACTCTGCGTAGGTACTCGGCCGGTTTTTTTATACGCGTACTCGGCCGAATAGTTGGTTTTGCTTTGTTATTTGATAACAAGTATACTTTGTTTAAGTAAAGCAATATAAATTAGGTATATATGAATATAAAAAGTTTTAATTAGTAATTTTGAAAATGTTTAAAAAATCTCGATTAATAAACGCGTTTGCAAACAATCAAGTGGGTGGTATTTGAAAGGCATGGGCGGGGTGAATACACCCCGTATTAAAGTGAGCCGACGTCTTGACCGGCGCGAACCTGTTTGTACTTGATTACGCGCGCGAAATGGGAATTTGACTGAACCGAGTTACTCGGCCAAGTTGAAAAATTATTGAGCCGAGTAAAACTCGGTACTCGTTACTCGACAAAAGTGTTACTCGGCGCATCTCTAGTTATTATTATTTTTTTACACGGGCTTCAAGAAACGAGGTCAAGTTAATACCAATTTGTGTGGTGGTACAGCTTAAGTATATAATTCTGGTAGATTCAAATGAAACTTCGAGTTTTTAACCACTGCCTATGTAGTATGTGTACCTGTATGTATACAACCAAACCATAGACTTGTTACGCGTCACGAGTAACGAGTATTTCAAATAAAAATTTAGATTTAATTACCTTTAGTCAGAGTCGACTTCATTTAGAAAGAGGAGAATAGCATAGAAGTACGTTATTGGTCAAAAACTAGAGAAAAATATTATTATTTATTTAATTACTTAATAGTCACTGTTCTCACCACCCACAATCACAATCATCACAATTGTCATTGGTAGCAGATAAAAACTTTAATTTGTATATAAATGTTTTTATCTGCTCTAAATAAACAAATGGTGTAGGTGTACGTTTCAGGAAGAACACAAAGATATATTTTAGTTCACGATCGAGGATCGAACTGCCGAATTCAGAAATATAAAACGGGCCCACTCGCCAATCACATCTACACCAAAATCGCTCTCTTTCGTCACGTATAGATCTTCTGTAAGATCAAAATATTTGTTCTAAAGTTCACCTAATACAACTGTAAGTCATTTTATCAAACCGTATGTTACAGAAAGTGGAAAGAACTAATCACATACAATTACTCGTTGAAATCAAAATTATATATCCATTCTATTATGTTTCTACCATTGTTATTATATCTTAGCCAGTTACACAACTTCCTAAATTGTAAGTAGACCATGAAATTAAGTTTTATAAGACTTTTTGGTGAACGAATTGTGGTAACAAACCATGCTTATGACATAAGTCGTATTACTTTACAAATCACGAAACATTACTCTCTCCTACAGTAAAACACGGAAATGTTATTTGTTAGAAATAATTCTAAAGACTGTACTAAACCTGAAAATGTTTACAAATGATTTAGCTATTATTGTAGTTCTTGTGAGTAGTACATTTAAAAAAGTAGGTACGTTTAACGTTTTTAACGCGAAATTTATTAGTTCACCTATTATAACTAAAACTCGACTGGTCCACCATTTTTACCGTCACATTTTAAGTTCAATGTGTTTTATTTTATTGAATATACATTACCAAATGGCACACTAGTATTTAAAAATGATTTCCATTTATGACGTACCTGCTCCAAACAAATCCAATTTTCTAAGACGCGACAGTATTTGAAAACTTTGTAAAGATTTAATTATTCCATTATGTTTTGTTTTCTTTCACCAAAATTTTAAATTTAATAATATACATATTTTGAACTTTAATAAGGATAACGGATACATCAGACAACATATTCAGGCAAAATAACAAATAAAATCTGTGACTAAAACAGTAATCCCTACATCATTACTTCATTAATAGTAATATCGACAAATTCAAATAAAAAACGCAATTATCTGTAACAATTTAATAACAACAACTAACGTTCGTACTAAACCTAATTAATCTATTTTTAAATAAAGTTTATATCGGTCGTTTCGTCTAATACTCAGTTGTTTGTACACCTTCTGAATTTATCGTCTCTTGTACTCCAGCCTGTCTCGAAAATGTAACAGGTGTATTATCACTGAATCCAGCTGAAGCAGCAAGTAAAGCTCTACTGCCTATATCCCCTATCACATTAGCGTCATCAAAACCTGTTCCTTCATGATTCACAAACTGTGTTGCTTCTACTTTTATTGGGTTGTCATTATTCTGTTCAGAAGTAAACGTTTCTAGGTTCGCGTAAGGCTGTTGTATGGCATTCGCGAATGGATTTTTCGATACATATGAATTATCTTGCGGTATAGCGTTAAACGGTTCATTATCAGCTACAGCGCTCTTCACAAAACCGAATGTACCCGGAAACGCTTGTGATCCACTGTTTACCGCCGTAAATACATCGTCATCGTCATTTCCTTCTTCCGTTACTTCGTAAGTGTTACCCGGTTTGGCGATACCATGTAGAGAGTTTGGCAGAGAATCGAACACCTTCACTTGTTTTACTGTGTGTACAACACCATGTACTCGTGGAGCCTCCGGTGCGCTGGGCGCAGCTGGCGTGTATCCAAAATCGTGGGTAAACGTATTTGGACTGTAGTCGTAACTCGGTGGCTCGTAATTTATCGCTGGTGGTTGGTAGTTGTAAGTCGGTGGTTCGAAGTTGACTGTTGGTGGATCATACACAATTGGCGTATCGTGCGCCTTATGTCCATGGTGACCATGTCCATGATGGCCATGTCCATGATGACCAAGTCCATGATGACCATGTCCGTGGCCATGGTGGTTAGAATGCCCCTTAGACACAGCGTGCGTAGATGTTTTCTTATGATGATGGTGATAATGGTGACCGTGTGGTGTATGCGGTTTGTGGTGGTGGTGATGATGGTGATGCTCCTTTTTCGGTTTGTGATGATGATGGTGAATTGTGATCACTTTCTTGTGATGGTCGTGGTGTATGAATTCTGGTAGATGTATTTTCAAATTGACACTGAAATAAAACAATTGATTTAGATTGATTTTTCATGCTGGTAAAATTCATGACAACTGAAATACATTCGCGCACTGCCGTCTAATACTATCGCAAATCATTATAGCTATATTTAACATACAATAGCAACGGGATAAACATAGCATATATTTATATACAGTTTTAGAAAATAAAGTCAATAGTTTTTCCTACGGATACGTACAAAAGTCTACATTTAGACCCTTCGTGATTGGAATAAATATTATAAAGCCTTGTAATTTTTGAGTTATAACATTAAATTCCACTTATAAAAAACTATATAAGTTCAACATATTTACGGGCAAGTTGTTTCAATTGTAGTAACTGTATTTTTTAAATGTCGTGTTAAACATTATCAAGTTAACCGACGCTACGAAATTTAATTAGATAATATTAAATTAACGGACATAACACTCGATATGTCCCGCACGTTAACTAATTGAAAGAACCCGCCCTAATAGTAATACAAGACCTTACTGGTGCTTTCCTCCATGGCCACCAGCGTCAGAATCAACAAAGAATATCACTAGCACCGATAAATATTTTATCAGATCCATTTTGTCACAACATTATCTCACTGGAAGTCGAGCTACACCGATTGTGCACACAAACGGTTTGACAACGCGCCAGAGCGAAATGTTCATTTATCCAATTTCACTTAAATAAACCAGTAATATCAACAAAAAGACAATTCTTATCTCTACCTCGTTCTTATTGTTGCACGAGTCTTACTCCAATCGCTCACAGAATAGAGGGTAATTTCCTTTGAAATTGTGTAACTGGATGTGGTTTTTTGCTATTATTTGAAATAGTATTTCGCTGCGGCCATTCAAAAAGAACGCGTTGGACTCCACGACGATGTTGTAACGACTGCTCGTTGTTATTCAATGCTTTTGATGTGATTAATTCCGTGTGCGTAACTTTTTCGGTTATTGGGACAAATGTTTTCCTTATATTCCTTTATTAGAGTGAAAGCGACATATGTATACGTTTGTCATAGACCACGGCTGCTGCAGAGCACCCGACACGCCGGGCCGTAGTTGAAATAAATTTCAAAAAGTTTAACTAATATATAACGCGTTTTAACCCGTTAAAGTGTTTTTTATTTATTTATTTCACACTTAGGTACACAAAACAGAACTTATAGATATTATGCAGTTTGAAACTATAGAGTGTACCGGGCGGCCTTATCGCTATAAGGGATCTCTTCCAGGCAATCCGAGTAGATAGAAACTTAATGATAATTAAAACTAAACAGTGTGCGAAACGATTTAAGTTTAAATACTGTCTATAGTTTACGCGAGTAGTACACATTTAAATAAAACACTGATGACGGATGCTTTGCAGCGGTCTCCCCGTGACCACGGCTGCTGCAAAGCATCCGAAACGTCGGGCCGAAGTTAAAAATCATTTTCAAATAAGTTTAACGAATATATCGCGTTTTAAACCGTTAAAGTGTTTTATTTAAATGTATAAGTTTATCTATTATTTATTTTTTTCCTCATGGTCGACCTTGGGTTGTGTTAATATTTTCATAAATAGAGGTAAGTGGAGGGATATAAAATAATTCCAGACTATGTCCGTAAGCGGTAGAGTTGGTGCGTATAATTAATGACTTCGATAAGCTATGTTCAATAAAAGACAAATCTTCAGATAACATAGAACGGAATTGGTTACGTTCAGTAAATACATTAAAAATGGCGGTCATTAAATTTTTATTAATGGTGGATACTTACGATTTATGGCTATGATAGAGTTACCTTTACAACATACAATCTATAAATGTAATAGTTAAATTAATGTGTCTGATTTGAGGTTCGGTAATCATAAATATACTTAGTTAAGGGAATTAGATATATATGTCAATATCAATCAACAATTACCAATTAATATTTTTAAGTTGTACATGTTTATTCATTTAATTTAATGAAATTTCTTTTAGAATGTTCAACATTAGGGGAATGAGATACGTCTCAGCATATATATTGAAGTCCAAACCCTGACAGCAGACACAGTATTTTCTGGACTCCCAGGGTTGACAGTTCAGAAATTTACAGAAAACAAAAGCAGTAGTAGTAGAGTGTAATAGCGTTACGTAACGTAGGTAATACATATTGTGTGAATTGTCGTTGAAATTAAATGGCAGTGAAATTACGTATTTCTCATTTTTTACTAGAGCGAGATTATTATGCGAGCGATACTCAGAGTATGTTTCAATATATTTTGACAATTCTATTAAAATTTTATTCCTAAAATGTTGTAGGCCAACTGAAATCTTTGTTTTTCTTGTCCTGGAATTCGAACCGGGACTCTCCAACGCCAACACGTCACACTATGAGTAAAGTACTTTCTTTTTAAAATTATGTTTGAGTAAATGAAACACAGGATGCGGGTAAATAATTTATTAACTTAACAATAACTTAAGGAATAAAATTAAATACGAAATAGTAAAAAATAACTTGAAAATTATTATCAGTCTTTGATAAGTGTGTTAATAAAGGGTCTTAAATATATTTTGTACAATATTTTTGGTATAAAAGCTTATAGTTTAGTGATAAATAATAAAAAGTTTTTCTAGTTACATTTTTAGAGTCTTAAATTATTATTTACGAACAGTTAATTGATTGAAACAAATTAAAGCAAGATTGGTATTAAAAATAATCGTGTCTGTTGCCAGTAAAAGTCTTGCTTGTGTAATACAATATTGTAAAAATGCGAAAAGAAATATGAATCACGTCTATAGTTTGTCATAGTGGGATTAGGGATTTTCAAGAAATATCTTTATAAATTAATAATTCTATAACTAAAGAGCATTTTTAACACAATACACGTTCTAAGTAATAATAAAGAGTCTCAAGGCACGGATATTAAATTCATCTAGTAGTAGGTAAGCAAATACAGTAATTAGTATCTAATTACAATAAAAGTATGTTAAAGAAAACAGCAAAATGAAAATATTTAAACCGTTTGAAACGTGAACTAAAAAGGTAGAACTCACGCAACTGCGTCAATGAAAACTTAATTTCCGCAAACTCGGTCTGAGTAATTTAATGAAAATCTTCGACGTAAAACTAGAAACATATTCTAGGGACTGATACGGGCGTTTTTTTTTGTGAATAACCTTTGCAATTAGAAGATATAACTGTAACAAGCACTTTTATCGTGCTTAAACATAATTTTATGAATTACGTAAGTATTTTAACTCTCCATAAATATTTTATATTTCGATCGGTAGCAACGTCCAGCCATTATTTATTGATTAAATTCATCATTTAAATGAATTTAAATTTAGAAGTCAGTATTATTATATTAGTCACCATTCTGTGGTTATTTTGAGAGGTCCTAGGTTCAATCGACGGGAACCCTATTTGATAGTTTGATTATTTAGCAGGGTATGATCACCAGAATGCTTTACGCTCCATACACTTTTTTTAGTAATAATACAAGTAATATTGGTAATGTTCGACAGAGATAACTAGCTCTACCATATTGCTATTGTTGTATTGTCTCGTTCTTACCGATTGCTATAAAATATGTATAATTAATATTAAAACAAAGGTAATAAAACAAAAAAAAAGTATGTTAAAGATCTGACATGATGATAAGCTCCGGAGGATCTAGATTTGAAACTCGAAAAAGCCTACCTTCGTTATAAAATGGCTGCTGGAACGAACATAGAAACATATTTGGATCATAGAAAGGATATTTAAATTATTGATATTAAAATAACTGCATAACGTGGTTATCATCATCACCTACAATCACTTCACTCCCGTTTGAAGAACATATGCCGCGTCGGTATGATTGGTACACCATCCATTTCATCTTCATCGTTTATCGGGACATCTGGTAAGTAGTCGGGCAGGCCAATAGCTGGTATAGGCTGCGTGTGAGCGTCGTCGATTAGCATGTGATGGAAATGCTCGTGCTCCTCAGAAGGGTGTTCCAAGTAATTCGGGAACTCGTGGTGCTTGTGGTGATGGTGGATGGTTTTGTATACTGTGTGAGTGTGCCTGATCTTCTTCACCTTATAGGGCACGTGGATGATCACCTTTTTTGAGCGTCTGCAAAAAGATCATTGGTGATGAACATGGATATGTGGGGCATATTGATAAGTTTGTAGTAAAAATACATATGACATCTAGGGAAAAAGTCTAAATGAAGAAGACTAGTGAAAGCATCGGTTCCTTCTTTTTTTAATTAATTGGTAATTTTTTCCTTATCTTCCTTTTATTTCTGTCGTTACGTTAATCAAGAAAATCTAATCCCTATTATAAAGCCTTTTGAACAGTATTATACAATTACTCATAGTACAGCTCGGTAAATTTCTCTTAAAACTTATATTTACAATAAGTTGTTCAATAACTCATATTATTAGTAATGTCACCGTGAGAGTGCGAGTGCGGGTGAAGTATGGCGCTGCTCACAATTTAATATATTATGGTATTGTATAGCTTATTGTAGATAACTATTGTATATTAGTTCAATATTAAAATAGCCACAGACGTATATGCACTGGTTCTAGTTTATTTGTTATTTTTTGTTTATCATTTGTAGGTGCAAACCGTCGTTCATGCTAAAACATGCGACTACATGATTTTCAGTGAGGTGGAAAATAAAATTGAGGCAATTAACTTAGGCGAAAATGAATTTCAACTATTATTTATGTAAATATTATGTTCACAATTTTCGGTCACTATGCTCTTGTAGATTAATATTTTTGGACTATGAAAAAATATAAAAAAGTCAAATTAATAGTATTGTAAAATTATTACTCTGGAGTGAAGCGGACTCTTAAATTCAAGCGTAAAGCGTGAGAGGTCTTCGGTTCAAAGTCCTGGGAAGTAAAATAAATGTTTATAGTAGTAAGAAGTCTGAACTGATTGTCACTAAAATTCATGAGTAAAGCTGACGCTTACTAAATAAACTAAAGCAGGCTTAACATAAAAACTACATATAACGTTACAAGGATACACATGCGATAACAGTGTAAACACGAGCGGTTGCATAATGAATTTCAATTGAATGAAAGTTAACACCAATCTTAACGAGTCAATATATACGTAGAAAAAGCACGCATTTCCTTCACGGCCAACTGATTCAATTCACTACAATTGTGGATTGCGTGTCATCACACAGTTCCGGATCAACTGTATATGTGATATATATACAGGGCGTCCCACGACTATACAAATTGATGGGCAAGTATCTTGTAGATAAAACATTTTCCTAAACGATAATAGTAGTAGCTGTGTCAGCGATATCGTCACTGTAGAATTCTTCTCGTCATCTTTAAAAAATATACCTGTAACCCACGAGGTCGTTCGTCGTTCTTGCATATTAATCTTAAAAGATAGACAAATATTGTTGCGGACATTTTTTAGAGAGTTTAAAGCAACTAGTAAACTGCATTTTTTAGTGACCATATGAAAGTAAAACTGAGACGTAGTTGAATTATTGTATCCACCTTTCTCACTAGAACTTAAATAAAATTTACACTTTGGTCATTTGATAAATTTATTAGAATCTATACTAATATTATAGAGGGGAAAGATTTGTATTTTTATATGTAACGGGTAAACTCAAAAAGTACTGGACCGATTTTAATAATTATTTTTTCATTAGAAAGCTACATTATCACTGTGTAACAAAGGCTATATTTAGTACTTGATTACTATAGGCATCTATAGAAATTCTTACTAAAAACAATGGAAGGCGTAAAAAAATTAGCCGTAAAATGTCTTTCTTTGCATACGGTGCGAAAAGTATTAACGATAGGACAAAAAAATGTTCGACAATATTATAGAATATATTAATAACTACAAAAAACATCTCGAGCAAACATCTAGCGACGTAACTTCTTTTTTTTACATTTAACAAATTGATAGAAATGCCGACCAAAATCAGACCGCATTATCCGTACCATTTATACATTTTTATCCGAATAAATTTAATATTCTAGACTGTCTCAATACCTGAAATCACTTTTTTAATCATTGAAATCGGACATTCCATTCAAAAGATATTACGAAGTTAAAATAAAAATGCATTCCGGCGGTGGCCGCCACGCCGCGCATCGAGTATCTAATTCGACGATAGAGGGGCAGTGGGCGCGAACGACGTATTTCGATTTTTGTAAACATTTTTATGCTTTACCTAAAAAGTTCTTTTCAATGCTACTTAGTTTAGTATTAGGAATCACACTTTGCATAATATTTGTCAAAGTTCTTTTCAGAATTATCGCTTTGAACTTAAATATTTTCTTTTGTATTATTATTAGTTTATTCTTAATTTCTCTGATTTAAAATAAATATCTTTCATAGCAATATGTCTAGAAGAAGAAGGTCGCAGCTATCTAAGAATAGTTCCCAAGCGAGATTAGCAAAGTTTGTCGTATTGGAGAGTCTTCTTCCTAAAATGATCATCTGGAAAGTATTATAGTGTACGCGTCCCAATCGCAACCCAGAGAATCCATCGTCGAATGTTTAGGTTCGTTTTGCAGAACAAAATGCAAGTTTGTCTCAGCGACTTGAAGGAAATAGAGTTAGGAATTCGCGAACGCGTGCACGGGACTCTAACACTGAACGCTCGCAGCGGCTCCTGACACAGCGTGATAGACAAAGGTCGTTAAGAGCTAGGACGCAAAGTACATTTTTATTTCTATTTTAAATTAATTTGTATTATCTGTAGTTTACGCGAATGTACTATTCGCGTAAACTACAGATAGGTAGATAGATAATACTATAGGTATCAAAGATGCACTTGTACATATGTTTGTGTATGTTTTCTTCTCAGCGTATTATATTATAAATATTGTCTGCTACTTCAAATCTACTACACCAATGCTTTCACGATTTTTTTTATCAAATACTTTGTTTTAACCTACTCGAATTTTTCATGTAATGTAAGCAGCTGAATATAAAAAACTATAAAAACTTACCCTCCTGAAGCTGAAGCAAGTATGGCAAGAAACATCGCCAAACAGAAGAGTAACTGAAACAAAAAATACAAAATTTGTATATAATTACAATTGTTTGAGTATTGTTTGTTTTAATTCAACCTAAAATATTAATATAACTGCTTTGGGTAAACATAATGATAATTAATTTTGAATCTCAGTTAATTAGATAAAGTAAGGTTAATTAGTAAATATGCGCCCTGTCTACATAACTACGGAACGACTTCTAGATAAAGAGCATTGAGTAATAAATACTTTTAAACAATTCTCAATTCTAAAATTTAGTTTTTTGGTTGCCATCTGAAAATGTGTATTTATTTTAAACCACATATCTTAAAGCTATACGTAAAGCAAAGTGTTATAATTAATAAAAGTGGGTGGTGCCACACGCACTTTAAATAATTATAATAATTGTTCTTTTGTCTTTATTTTTGTTTACTTATGTGTGAAATAAATGATGTTTGATTTTGAATTACATTGTAAAACTATTTAGTAACTATAGCACTCAAAACTCAATTGTATCACCCGAAAACTACCCTAAAACCTACGTTAAAGAAAAATAAAATAAATATAAACGCAAAAAAGTCGCAAGAAAAGCAGAACATATAATAACGAAACACATTTGCTTAGCTTCCCAGTGCAACGATCTATAAAGTTGATATATAATAAAAATTATTGATAAAAAGCGAAGCTTACCACGGTCCTAGAATCCATTCTTGGAGACAATGCAGAGAAAACTCATGCGCAACTCAAAGGAAAAAAAGCACGTGGAAAACTCGACGTGTTCACTAGTGCATTCAAGCTATTAATGAAAGCAGATTCTCTTGTTTATAGTTTATATATAGAGTGTTCTGGGAACATGCGATGTGCAAAAGTTACATAACATTCGGATAGACGCGAATTTTCTTCATGCACCCTGTTCTCGATTCTTCCCAATAGAAAGGGACAGTAGACTAACTATGCAGGACAGTATTCAGTACTAATATAAAGGCTTAAAAAAAACAAATGAAGTTTATAAATATATAAATATGGGTTCTACGGACATCCTAATTATTTATTTATCTTATATATGTATTTGAAATTAAAAGTAAAAACTTCTAAACTGTGCAAGTTAAACTTTAAATAATAATATTAATATTGAAAGCGAAAATAAAGTTCGAATAATAAAAGTGCCATTCGATTACACTCTATTAAAATTTTCTATGTCCGTTTCACAAAGGTTTCTCTGCCCGGCCTGACCAGAAGAACTAAAAATTTCTCCAGGATTCAAACATTCAGTCAGTCATTGCGTGGGAGTTACCGTGACCGTATTTATAGGGTATTAAAGTAAGATCTAGTGTCAATTTTATGGATATCATTTATTTGATAATCAACGTCGTCGTGGGTATGATTCCTGTCATGTCGAACATTTGTTTTTTTTTTTTTTTTTTTTTTTTTTTTTTTTTTTTTTTTTTTTTTTTTTTTTTTTTTTTTTTTTTTTTTTTAAACTCTCGGGACGTTTTTTTTTGCGGTAGAGTTTTTTTACATTTTTTTAATTTTTTTAATTATTTCCAAATTTTTTTTATTTTTTTTTATGAAATATATGTAACTCTATCAGGAAAACATAGATATTAAATGGTCTGGGTCTGCCATGAAAAAAATAAAAAAAAAAAAAACGCTTCCCCCCCCCCCTTTCTTTTTTTTTTTTTTTTTACCCCCCCCCCCCCCCCCCCCAAAAAAAAAAAAAAAAAAATAGAAAAAAAAAAAAAAAAAAAACACCCCCCCCCCCCCCCCCCCCCCCCCCCCCCCCCCCCCCCCCCCCCGCCCCCAACGGGGAGAAAAAAAACAAACCAACAAAAAAAAAAAAAAAAACACCACCCCCCGAAATCATCAAGTGACTTGAAAAACTAAAAACAAAATTACCTTCAAATGAAACAGTAAAATGTAGTATTGTTAAAGTTAATTCCTCTTTCGAAACGGAGTTAAGATGTTACGAACTACATGCGTGGTTTAACGTAATTCGGAAATCAATTATATCAATGTAATCATTTGGTTAATTGCCTCTGTGTTCTTTAGTGTGTTAGGCTTCAATTCACGAGGTCCAATGTTCGAATATTGGGTCGTATAAATTGTTAATTCTGTATTTTATAAAAGAAAATGTAGGTTTTTAGTAACACTAGGTGTTTTGAGGAACTCCTAACAAAAAAAAGTAGTTTAATTGCGTAAGGAAATCGTACCTGAAATTTGCCAATAAAGGGAGTGGCGGCGAGTTTCTTGCCAGCTCTTTTTGTGCGTTCTACTCCCTGAATTTGAGAATGGTAAATGTATTTTTTTTATCTCTATTGACGTTCATAAGTGTCCTAGTTATAAATATATATATTAGCCAGAGTTTATTTCTGGCTTATCATATGGCTGATCTTCGCTTCGCATGAATGAGATGAATTCGCTCTTGGCGTCATTATATTTCGTGAACCAAACAACATTGGATTTTAATAATTTCCTTACATAAAAAATAGATACCATATATCGCTAAGTGTAGAAGTGACGGCCGTTGGGGCAAAAAGGTTCTGAAGTGGAGACCACGTACCGAAGTCGAAAACCTGGATGACCTCCTACCAAGTGATCGTACTGGAAGACTATGGGGGAGGCCTATGTTCAGCAGTGGACACAGAACGGCTGAATCGATGGCGCTTAGTTCCTTTATATGTAGAGAAGTTTGTATTGCAGGACAAAACTAAAGATATCCATTGTGTATCATGGTTGTAGGTTCGAATTCTTGTCGAAACGGACACAGAAAAATGTCCACTAAATCTTATCAACAGAAGAAATATCAAAATGTATTTAAATTACCAAAAAAAAAAAGTTTTTATCGTATCTGAAACATCGAAACCGAGATGCGCTGCCGGCCTTTTAGATATCATACGTTTTCTGGAATAGAATGTATTATTAGGTATTATATAACGTTTTATGTATATTAGATTGCATATTTACTTATAACGGAGAGTGAAAACAATCGATGCACGAATACTACAATGTCGTTTGTTTACGACTGTTATTAGGTGTGGCCACTAACCTGACTGAGTCTACATAATAAACGATTTTTTAAATAAAAATACTAGACAAAAATACGGGGGTTTTATGTACATTGAAATTGTTTACCTAATGTCTACAACGAATCATTTAACTACGAACAAAAAAATATTGATAAATTAAAATTCAACAACCTTTTTTATTTAAATAAAACACTTTAACGGTTTAAAACGTAATATATTAGTTAAACTTATTTGGAAATGATTTTTAACTTCGGCCCGACGTTTCGGATGCTTTGCAGCAGCCGTGGTCACGGGGAAATAAGTTTAACTAATATATCGCGTTTTAAACCGTTAAAGTGTTTTATTTAAATGTGTACTACTCGCGTAAACTATAGACAGTATTTAACCTTTTTTTATGTTGTGTAGACATTTTTTGACTTATATATGTCGAAGTTGAAATGGAATTAGTCTTGTAGTTAATCACAACTACATAAATAAATACAACAGAAAATGCTAAGCCATTTAATAAAAGCGTTAGTTAAACAGTGATATCTCATACGTTGGTAATTCTATCGCAGTTCTTATGGCCACATCGGATCAAGTATGCGGTTTGAAAGCTGCCTCTCATACTTTTTCTAAATATTCACAAACATCAATCTATAGGCATAATTGCATTATTGTCGACCTTCGTTAGGCATAGATAAATGCTAAAAATGCAATGTTATGTTTTCTGTGGAGTTCCACGAGAGATCTATTTAAAAATCATATTAGACCGCATTATTCATTATATCGTGATAGTGAGTAGTAAAGTACTACCTGTGATAATGTAACATTTTAATAGGTCTCTACTTGTGCCTTTAATTCAAATCTATAGAAGGTATATTCTCTTGAGTTTTATTTTTAGTATCCCGTTGCTTCTGAAAGTATAAAATTAACTGGAATATTAGAATATACTAATATAATGTAAGGATACCGTGGATTCAACTAGAGAGCCAAATATAATATGTGTGGTAAAATTTAACGACTTTTGTGCTATTTATTTTATTTATAGTATAGGCATTATATTAATAAAATTTAAAATTTGGCGTTTCTTATTGTTTTTTTCTAAAATAGAGTGTATAATAAATAATTCAATTTTAACACCTGCGTACTCCTAAAATGCTTCCAAAGCCCGTACCGCAGCTCCCAATCCTCAAAGAATAGCGTGTCCCTATTCCAAGTCACTCTTTTATTCTCAATCTTATAATCATCCAGCAACGGCGGATTCAGCTGCGGTGCTTCCTTAGCGCGCCTGGACACTATCTCATTAACATATCTATATAACTCTGGAGCTTTGTGAACCCAACATATCAGGGACATAAGGGATAGCACAACAGCATGTAACCAAAAGCGAGATTTCTCAGGTATGTCGGTGGTGATGGCGAAGTCCTGGATAAACATCAGCATGCATGTTACAGAAGCCGCTGTAAAACCACACGGAACTTCTAGGACTAAGCATGACATCGCAAAATATAGAGCCTCGACGTTTGACTGTCTCGAGTGGTACATCTCGAAGGCTTTAACAAAATAATCATGGAATAGTTCCCGGTGATCCCTTAGGAACGCCTTGTCGCTTCTGTCGTAATCGCCGACTTTCAATGGCACCTTAACGAAGGTAAATATTGGTTTATCCGGGCTTAGTTATAAAAATACTTGGAATTTAAAAGTGGATTTTATTTAATTTTCAGATAAAGTTTTTACAAGTCTTTCATTGTATGCTCTGTTTTTAGACGTACAAACTTATTTCTCATACGTTATTAATAATTATTAAGGAAAATAATTTAAAAAATCGAAAATAAATTAAATAAATTTTTGACTCGGGCAGGACTTGAACCGGCATCGTCAGCGTTCCGCGCTGTTGCTCTACCAATTGAACTACCGAGCCACTAAGGAAAATAATACCAGACAAACGTTAAATCGCTCCATCAACCACTTTCTCAACATTACCAGTGTTCTCGATAAATTTAAAAATAAATAAAGCTACAATCATGTAATCATCTCACCTGCGAAAACTCGTAATATAATGTCGGAACTATCAGATAAGAGGAGTTATTATGTCGATCAAGAAACCTGGCTAAGATTCGACAACCGCACAGACTATACAACGAATCAGTGGAACCAATCAACTTCTTCACAATATGATGAATAAATCCACCTTCAAAACTATCTCTATATCTACCCACTTCGTACAAAAACGCTGCATAATCTAAAAGTGTAGATACATCTAGGACGTTCTCCTTGTCAATATCAACCATAGTGAACCAGTGTAATATAGTAGTGATTAAAGTAAGTTTGTGTTTATTAGCGGTCCTCTCAAATATCCTGCGCAGGCACACTTCAAAACCTTTCTTCAAGTATTGGAATGTGGGTCGCTTGTGACATGCGCTGTTTGTGAAAAAATTTAAAAATCGCGTCACAAATGGCAAGAGGTGCTGACTGTCGATCACCCAATTTTTGCTGTTCAGCAATTCATAGAGCACCCTCGTTCTATGTCTGGCTGATACCAAATCACTGAATACCACGCAGTGGATGTCTGTCAGCATGATGTTGAACAACGTGATCTTGCCTTCGTTGTAAAACAATAGCACTTCCAATATTTGCGTCACGAAATTTTCAAAGCTCCACAATGAGACCTCTGAGAAGAATTTCAGTGTCGTTTTGATTACGAGTTCGCTGTGTTCCGGGTGTAGACCTTCCATGACTTTGTGAAAGATTTCTTCAGCCAAATGAAATTGCCTTGCGCTGAAGCATATTAACAGTTTTCCTTTAAGTTTTTCCTGTTTAAGCCGTGTACCAAAGTAGTAAACCAGACTTAATGAAGAATATATTAACTCTTGCATATCGCACTTTTGCACTCTGTCTCTAGTAGAATGCTCTAGAAGAAACTTTAATCTTCTCAGGGCCAGGACTTTGTTACCGTGGTGTAACGTATTAAAATCTACCGGTCTGGAGAGCTGCTGGACTTCATACGCTATATTCTCTAATACTTGACTATCGGGCGACACTTTGTTGCTCTTCCACATCGCTTAAGATTCAAGTTAAACTCAATATTTTCTTAAAGGTCAAATGTATCTTGTATACTCAATTGACAGTTGTCAATAAAATTATGACGTTGTTCTCTCTCAGGCTCTACATCTTTTAAAGAAAATAATATACCTACATCACATGACATATTATACACAGATAGATATTTCGTTACCTTTTACCTATCAGACGCAAAATATGACATATTATCCCTATCACAAAAAATTATGTAATTAATTAGTTGATATTATTAAAATTTCTGCTTTCTTTATAGACTTTGCTTACCAACATTATGAGGTAGCTGACTTCTTATAAAAAAATTGAAAAAACATATACATAATTAGATGCTGTCGTTAGTCGATTAAAGTCGCATTTTTTTTTGATCTTCAATGAAACGACTGCAAATCTAATATCACATTTTCGAGAATGGCCCCCCTTGTAATTTGTTTAGCAAAACACAGACGCGCATGAGTGCGCGCGAATGTCCGGAACAAAGTGGTTACGTCAGCACTTTCGTTGCGTTCTAGATAATATTTATTGATAGCTGATACCAATCCAACGGCACCAATACTGATGTAACGAGATAAAATTTGTATTTTTATTACTTGGCCTACAATTTAGTTAACACAATTTTAGTACACAGACTCAACAAAAATGTTTTCAAAAGCAATATTTATTTTTTAAATTGTTTTAACCGATTAACTTGTGTTGTATGCAAAAAATAGACGTTCAAAGTTGTCACATGTACGCATGTAGGAACTTTAAGTGTAGGAGTATTAAAAGATACCATGATATTTGATTATTAAATTTAACGTAATTGAAAATAAAACACCAATTCATTTATTATTTTATTGAAATTACAATATCACTTAAAGCTATCAGTCTTATATAAATAGAATGTATAAATAATAAAATAAATTACATTGAATCGTTAATTTACTTGAACTATTGAGGTAGATGGTTTCTTTATTACAATAAACATGTTTATCGAGTATGCTTTGTACTAAGTATGTGTTTTTTTGTTTACTAAATCATAGTATTATATCCAAATTTAAAACTAGTATTATAGTATTGTAATATTTATTGTGGCAATTAAAAATAGTATTTAAAATAGTTCATAAGCGTTTTACCTAGTGTAACACTAAATGCGCGTATAAAAAATTAAATTCTAAATTTAAAGTTTTGTCTGTCTAGTGAACTTAGTATCTGTTTTGTATTTTTTTTATTCAAGACATTGTCGTCGTGTGGTCAAAATTTCAAGAAGGCCCTGGGAGACACCACTATATTGAAATATAATGTTTAAAAATCCTACCAGAGTGTAAAGTGTTATATTGAAATTGTTTGCTCTCTATAATATAACAATAGCATACTCGTTATAGTTTAAAATTCGAATTGACAATTTCCGTTACGATAATTCGAAAGAAAAATAACTTTACTCTGATTTACCTTAGTTCTATTTCTTCGTTATAACTATGGTTCCTATTGCTTTGTTTGCGTTTTTGCCGAGTCCGCGCCGGAAACCTGCTGCGGTACATAGTTTTGGGAGTAGGTCTGAGCGACGTATGGCCCCGGGCCAACTTGCTCTTGGAGCTTTTCAGCTTCCTCCGGCGCTACGGGGCACATGCAGGGAACTAGCTGTACTTGCTGAAGAGACACTGGAGTCAAACTGGCCCCAGCTGGCACACTAATAGGTATTGGGGCTAAATTCTGTTGCAGCATCTCGGGTTGCACGTACTGCTGGGGTTGGTAGACCTTGCGAGACTCGTAGGGATAGATATATTGGTATCTGTATGACGGCGATATGTTTGGTGGTAGAGGCTGTATCCACTTTTGGGACTGCTGGCTTCTGCAACAAGGTTACTTATTAAACTTTTGTACTTATACTAAATAACAAAGTGAGAAAGTAAGTAAACGTTTTGGGGAATCAAATTGGCGATCTCTCAATCGTATATCTGATTTAAACACCAACAGGATTAGGCAATAAAAAACGAGAACAATAATACTTCTTTATGTATCTTTATAACACAGATAGCAAGGGCTTTAATCTACACATCAGATAAAAATACGGTGAAATCTCATTTCTTCTATATGGGGCATAGGGATAAATGTGTCTGACATTTCTGTATCTGTTTCACAGGTTCCCGGAATTCGAACGCAGGAACTCTCGCTTAATGCGATTTTAAACAACAAGTTTACAAGTAAGCCAAGAAGGCGGTACTTGACATACACATTTCATTAGCACATTATACATAATATTCTCGCATAGTATATCGCTAAATATCGCCAGCATGTGTTTCAATTACACATATAAAATATGCATTGCAATACACATTCGCGTAATATCGTATAGTAGATTATAAATAAGTCATTTATACAAATAAGCGCATACGCATATTTTAAATAATTGGGCGAAATCTTTGAGATATGGGAACATTTATACAAGGATATAAATAGCATCGACTAAATAAAATAATATTGATACACATTCTTTAACTTACCCTGAATCGGATCCCCATTTTAAGAAGAAGGCTTCTGACGAAGCAAGTAACGCCAGGCTTAGCAACATCGATACCTGTAAAAAATAGAAAGGTATTTAATTATAAATACTGTCTGTAATTTACAAGAGTAGTACACATTTAAACAAAACACTTTAACGATGAAAAACGCGATATATATTAGTTAAACCTATTTGAAAAATATTTTTAACTACGGCCCGACGCCCGTTTTAAACCGGTAGTGTTTTATTTTAATAGGTATATTTATTTCACACTAATAAATTAATCGTAATATTATAATAGAAACAAAGACATATTAAACAATCTTTTAAATGTTTCTTAATAAAAATATCAAAGAGTTTTAATCCGATATGATACTAGTTGAGTCACGCGACTTCGTACGCGTAGAAAAATTATTTTGGATATCAATTTTTGTTCTTGCAAACCCCCTGTTCAACTCTATAAATTGAGTTGTTACCCACGACGTCGACCGCGTCCCGTCGTTCTTGCAAGTTAATCTTAAAAGATACACATATACTGTCGCTGACTTTTTTTAGAGACTTTTAAAGAGGAATAATTCTTTCATACATGTTTTTTCGTATCTTGGAAACGTTTTTGCAGCGTACGCAATGGAAACCCACAAGGGTGAATTTGTAATATTATAGCCTTTCTCAATCAATGCTTTAACTAACACATTTTTTTTAATTCAAACCAGTAGTTCCTGAGATTAGCGCGTTCAAACAAACAAACAAACTCTTCAGCATTATATATTAGTATAGATATAATCAAATACTGTCTATAGTTACGCGAGTAGTATGCTTTAGCAGCCGTGGTCATGAGGAGACACGGCTGCTGCAAAGCATCCGAAACGTCGCACCGAAGTTAAAAATCATTGTCAGATAAGTTTAACTAATAAATCGCGTTTTAAACCGTTAAAGTGTTTTATTTAAATAGGTATAATCAACTAACTACTTTTCTGTCTATATATAAAGGTTTTTGATAATTTTATAAAAGGCACCGATGAATTTCTCTTGCACATACATATAACATATACAAATTGCGTGATGTATTTCAATCATTAGTAATAAATGTTTGATGGTTTTATGAAGGCAATAAATAGTGAAATCTATCTCGTATGCATTATTATCCCGTGGCGTGGGAACATATTAAGATCGACAATCAAGAACTTTTTATTGAAGCTCATTTGACTTTGTGGGATTCATATGAGGTAATTAATGAGAATAATTGTGTAAATATAATTTTCGCTCATCAGTAATTACTCAATAATTCACTATATAATCAAAAACGTGCTATACTCGTACTAATATATAGTAAACTTTTGTAGCGACAACAATTAATTATTATTATTATTATTTACAGTTTATTGCACAAAAAAATTAACAAAAATATAAACGAGACTTAAATACTAAAAATATGGAGTGCAATGGGCGGCCTTATCGCTAAAGAGCGATCTCTTCCAGGCAACCCAAGATAAAAAGGGAGAAAGTTTACGGGAAAACGAGATGTGCAAGGTGGGCGAAACAAAATCTCTTACAACAAAATCTTAAATCTTACACACAATTTCTAAACTTATATCCGGAAACTAAACCTACATAAAAAACATTACGTAACAATATTAATAGATAGTGACAATCATTCTAATCATTCCTTATAACTAATATTTTTTCTCTCTTTACTTCCTCACTATCGTATCGTTTTCATAAATATTACATATTCTTTGTTTTTACTAAAGGTAATCTTATCTTTGGCATAGGGCAAATCTTTCTGTCCGTTTCCCTAATCGGTTTTGTTTACAGACAATTCTTGATCGACTTTTGCCTCCCACCGAAACAATTTACTTTTAACCGCCTTAACAGCCCAGCCAGAGGCGGTATCTTTGGCTTAGGCACGATATTTTGTAATAGTTTGATAACTTAAATATTTTCACATGTTGCACATGATGGCACTATATAAATTAAAAATCGATTATACATTAAAAAATAATACGACACGGGCAGGGCTTGAACCGGCAACCGTGTTGCTATCTTATTAATGTTATTTACGCTATTATATTATTTACAACTTCTTTATTATTAAAAAGTGGCCATCGTTCTTTACAAAAGGCAAATTGTAACAGTTAAAATTCGAATTCCCTATACAATCTTAACAAGTTGTAAGTTTCTACGGTAGGATTTAAACATATTTTTTTATCAATTTAAGACACAGAAAGAGACTCGTCAAAAATTAATTAACAACTCTATATAAATAATAAAACAAAATGCAATCAATACAATTCATAATTGTTGAACAGATTTTCAATATCAAATTGTTGATGCGACAGACAAAAACTATACCTTTTATTTTTATAGACAAGTTGTCTGTCATAATTCTGTGGCCAGGCCGACAAAAAAATTGTATCCACAGGATTCAAACCGTTTAATTATTTTCTAGTTTCCGGAGATTAGGATTTCAATTTGAATTCATTATTCGGTATCAGTGAATTAGGAGTATTATCCGAAGATCCAAGCGAGACGAATGGATTAATACTACATCCTGTGAACGAAGTTGCCCACAGTTGGGTCCCAAACCTTTTTTTAATTCATCTTGCCCATTCACTTTTTGATTATTCATTTAAGCCGTGCTCTAAAGATCTTATCTTGAATCTATATGTAATAGTATAATATTTATAATTATTTACAATATGCTAAGTGGAGCTTTTGAAACGGAATGATTTAATTAATAATTTCGTTAAATAATTAATAATTGTTAAGAGTTCGTCAAGGAGTTTGGTTTCACCTGAGCGTTAAAAACTTACTTAAAGCTGGTTGAATTTAAAGAGAAATTAAAATGTCTCAATTAAAAAAGTGACTTCCAGATTTCCCAAACCAGGGCAGACATTTCAGTGTCTTTCACTAGTCGATTGTGTTTACGGGCAAAAAGTTCAATTCATAGAATATCTAGGTTGCAGAAGTGACCACTAGCTATAAGTACAACTCGACGGAAATTATGGTAAGTTTTATTTTTTTTAATGTACGTAAAAAAAATATTTCTCGTAATAAATTTTGAATTTTTTTTCGATTCCCAAACTATCACAATTGTTCGGTTGGCTACAGATATGTATCTGCTAAATCAAGCACTAAACAATGTTCTAAAATGAAAAATATCTATAATAAATTAAAAATACCATTACATACAATTGAAAGATTGATTGAGAAGACGTTGAAAACTTCCTTCCGCACCTATTGAAAAATGACGAATAAACATTATCGGATTGTTGAGTATTATCTTTTCATCGCCTTGTCATAACAAAGGTCAAATACAATTGAATTGTATTGAGAGATCATAGGCATTTTATGATAGAGACGGATAGACAAGCTTGGGATTCACTCAAAATTTGGATGCTATTAAATCACTGTTTAAAAATAGAACGCCTTCCAACCTTCCAACTGTGATGGTGGTATTTTGAAATTCCTTCTACCTTGGTACCTTGCGATAACTTAATATAAAATTAAACTTCTTGTACAATGGTGTGACCTTTACCGATAAACATATACTTTTTGAATGCATTGAATTTGAATGTATTCATGTACAATTATTTAAATTATCAAAAACTGTGTGTTTATCAATAAAAAGAAACAAATTATACGTTGTTATACTTCAAATCTGTCTAGATATGTTAACCTCCGAAACCAGTAAACAAGTTTTCAATAATATTTAAAGTAGGTACGAGTTAGCACATCATAATTTAGCGTTTGTTTTATTAATATCGGATAACTTCATATATGTTTATTAATTGCGGGTAATTATAAATTATTTCAAATCCAGATGTCTATAAAAAAAACTACTAGTATTATAAAAGCAAACATTGGTTGAATTTAAAAAGGTACTATAATAATATTCGCGATATACTTATTTAAATTTAATTTCTTTGTTTAATAGAGACATAATTAAGGCATTGTTAAAATTTGTCACAAACGGTATTCACCAACAAACGTTTTTTTTAATATAATGTTGAGAATTATTGGAAAACAGGAAAATATAATTTTCATTCCCTAATTGAATAGAACACCAAACTTACCATTTGGCGCTGAGACATCACACGGATATTGAGGAGATGCAACGGTAAAACACACCTAACTATATAGATCACAGTTAAGACCCGCACGAACTAAATCCAAAAGTCGAATGACCGATTCCCGAGATGCACCCGTTTTTTATACGATATACACACATTCCCTAACTCAACAGGTCTATGAACCCGGCCTGGACCATATTTGTAGCGTGACTACGGATCCACTTTCCTGGATTTTCCGGGATCTGAATATAAAAGTAAAATTTCGATTATGAGGACGCTTACATAAGCAACCATCTTAATGTGTTGACCAAAACTATGTTTTGTTAATATCAAAATCTGTTGCTGTTGAAAAAGCCTGCAACAGTAAGTGGTGCAGATTCGAACCACGCCTGTGGAAATTTCCTTATCTTGCAAATATGTCTGTTTATATTGTCATATTCAGAAAAGTATCTTGCCTATTTCCATATCACATAGAAATAAATCATCGCACTTAACTATTCATTATTTAATATAGGACAGACACATTTGTGTGTCTATTTCCAAAGGTATGTGACCAGCCAACGATATTATTTCATAGGGATTCAAACGCCAGATCTCACTGCTTTACGTTCGAAATGCGGTGGAGGGGACGGGGGTATGCATTATGGAAAAAGCATAATTTTAATATAGATAGACCAATAATTAAGACGGTTACTTAGGAATGGTAATCATACGGCTTGCTATGGGAAGGAGTGAGACAATCGTTACTAATCGGAGCCTACGGCTATATTAGCCCTACCCCAATATAAGGCTAGGTACACACTACAGACCTGGTCCTGCACCAATATACGAGTGGTAGGCAACGTTGATATCCGACTAATACTATCACCACCACCACCATCAATAAGCAGCGTCATCATCATCGTTTAGTACGATGATAACAACTGTAAATAGACTAAAATTAAACTACTCACACTGCTTGTATTACGATTACGACCCGATAGTGTATGCACGGCTTAACCCAAAAATGACTGGCCGTGTCTTTCGACGCGTGAAATCCTAAATAGATGTTCGGTCAACATTTACAATAGAACAACAAAAACAACGAACCTGCACTTTCTTAATTACCTTTGATTGATATTGTAGTGAGGCTCTGGTGCTTTTTTCGAGTGCTTCCGCTCGTATTTTGTAGCCAGCCATGGGTGTCAACAATTTGTTGCTGGAGAACCTACATTGAGTATACCTCAACGTATACCTTACCTATATAAAAAGTATAGGTTACTTTTACAATTGTAAACATTCGGCATCTGTTTTCATATAGTATAATTACGTGTTGTTTGCAGTCGCGTTTGACACAGTTAATTTTACTTTCAACAGTTTAAAACTCGAAATTTATTAACTAATTTAACCCTTTAACAGTTTTCCCATACTACTATTTAAATATAAATCAACTAATACCTTTTTAAGTTGTAACAATTTTTATTCGATCACATAATGTATCCTATGAATGCTAACTTTAGCCATGTTAACGATTAACAACATATACCAGGCTCGTGTACAAATAGTATCCTTCCTCCTTTAATAATCCTTAATTACTTCAGTTTAGTTTAGCCTACGGAATATAAATCCGCGTTCTCCCTTGGTAAAGCATAACTTTAATGACTGTTCCAGGTACAATTTTATATACCGCAAGTAGTTGATTATACTTCTGTCCCGACCAATATAACTGTAACTATAGTTTCCCCAGTATTCGAACGCGTTACTATGCAACAGTTTTACCATTGAGCCGCAGACAGTAGAATTTCAGATAACGTAGCGTAATTAAAACGAAAAGATTCACCGAATTCATTATTTTAAAAACCGAACTCAACTCTAAGTAGGCAACACGTTCTATCAAAGGCAGATGGTCTCGAAACAAGATCCGTAATTAGTGTAGAGATAATATCAAAAATAACGGATTAGCGGTCGTAACATAAGATTGTACTCAACCATTAGGGCAGTGGAGGGACCGTTTACAGTTATTATCACATTCCTTACTTTTATAATAAAACAAATAATCGAATAACTAACTCGGACGTCTGTTTTACATAGGAAAACGATTAGAATTTCAACGTCCCAGATAAACGTTACCGTATAGCCATTAAGCGGCGAAGCCTTTTTACAAATTTATTTAAATCGCCCGAGGCCGGTTTTATGAAGTACTTATTTGATATTCGGGGCTTATTCATTGCTTCTTTAGTACGATTCGGCACTATTTCATTTTTGTAATCGCCCGATTCGGGATCGGTTGACTCCGATTTTTCAAGATTATAATTGATATGCGTAATAATCATAATGTAAGCTAATATATATGTCCAGTATATCTTTTAAATTAAGGAGCTTGGTGGTCTTTGATGATATCTCTATAACTTATTTTATACTTCGACACATTTTTAAGTTTGATCGTCAATTTTTATTGTGTTAGTTACGGTTTAAATAGTTTTCTATAGCGCTTACGAGTAATCCTACTATCGTACAAAACCAAAAGAGGTAAATTATCATTTATATCATCTTAATCAGCGGTTAAGAGAAAGTACTAGAAACATACTACAATTTTACAGTGCAGTGGAACAACTACGAAGAGGGCCTTTATTTGAAAGCGATTAGTTTGTCGTCACAATTCTACTAGCGTTAAGATTATGAAAATGAAATAATACTGACATACTGTTTTGTTAAATTTATACATATCCAACTTTTTCACTGCGTGAAAAAATTATAAGATATTTTTATATAGTAGGTAACAAAATGCCTTATACTATGGGTTGAAATACTTAACTTGCCGGGAAATGTTAAGAAAGATCCCGGATTCGAGTCCCGAAATTACCTATGTACATTTAAAAGAAGAAATCACGAAGTTGTTAATTAATTAATTAATCATAAAAATGTGTCTATACAACACATACCGCAGTGATCTGGGGTCAAGAACTCTTATTTCGAATAGTAATAATATGTAAACAAAACGACTAGAAATGGTTATAAATTTTAATGAATACGTAATGTATATTAGGGCCGCGTTCATTCATCATCGAAGTTGAACCTTCTGCCGCCGTCGAAGCGGAAACCGTAGGCAGCGGCGTTTTTGACATCGACCAACGCCGGGTTGCGGTGTTTGTAGAAACTGCCGTGCCCATGCGCCGGTCGTGACGACCCGTTTGGTATACCGTGCGCCTGACGTGGATAGAAAGCCTCAAACTGTCCACTAGATGGTAGCACAGACTTCAGTTCATCGTCTTCGGGGTCGTAGGGCGCGGACATAGATGGCGCTAGTACAGCGAGTACCAATAACAGGTGCAACAGCTGCGAATAGGTGTTAAAGCTAAATATATTTTTGCTTACTTGCTTTTATTTTAATGAAGTTTATAAAACAATTAGTGAAGAAAAAACATGTGAACTTTTGACATCACCCAAATTTTACCTTACGGTTAAAATAAAGTACCGGTTTATTAATTCCGAATTGTAACCGGTTACTTTGAACTTTGACGCAAGCGCTGTCAAGTAATGGTTATTGAAATCCGTTGGCGGGAAAAGCCACAAGGAAATAAAAAAATATATCCCATAAACAAAAGTACAACAAGATTGTAAAGAAATTTTCTACTTTTAACTAAATAAAATAATATGTTTCGTTTCGTAAGTCCGTATATTAAGAACTGTCACTGACATGCTTAATTATAAAAAAAAAACTATATCTTTTAACCGGTAATATAAAGCTAAAGCTTTTGACCGGTTTGCATGCATTAAGCGGTTAATCCAACCGGTATGAAAATATTATTTCAATATAAATTAGAAAAAAAATTGAACGAGTGACGTACCTTCATAGTGATGTAAATGTAGTGAGTGACACGCGATTACGTAAGCCTCCGAAGGCAAATGGCGGGGACAAGTGACGACAGCGGCTGAGGCGAAACCTCAAGACTTTCCCTTACTGGTAACTAGTTATAGTCGCTGGAAGTGGCTCACATGAACAGTGGGGCGAAAATCTATACTAATATAAAAGCTGAAGGGTTTGTTTGTTTGAACGCGCTAATCGCAGGAACTACTGGTTCGAAATGAAAAATTATTTTTGTGTTGGTTAGGGAATTTATCGAGGAAGGCTTAACGCTAATGTCCTCTGCAAGGGGGGAACGGGGATATGATTAGTAGAAAATGTAGATCACCCGGTTTTCTAATAAGGAATAATAATAATAAAAGCTGAAGACATACATTCAATAGGAAAACTAGGTCGTTTCTAGTCTTCGGTGTCATTCTATTTCCAGTTATCGTTCGAGTGAGAACATAAATATGAGTGAGTTACACTAAAATAAAACACCGAGTAAGGGACTCGCAATTTCACTTAAGCTTACGGGGGGTTAACGTAAGCCTCCAATTGTATTATATTGTATTTTATATTGGAAATTCGGAATTGTGACGAAAAATTAAACTCCAAATTCAGATAATATCCATATTTAATAACAATCTTATACGGGGTCTCATCGTCAATAACTAAGTTATTTACAATTTATGTTATTTTCAGAATATCATACAATAAACAATATAAACTAATAGGAAGAAGGAGATGAAATTAGTTAATCTTGCTCGCGGTGGGCAGTTGCAAAATCGATTTTTCGAAATCCCTAAGGAAATACTTTGGGAACGAATAACTTAGATATTGACGTTGAAGCTCGACATTAGTGTTGCTTTATTACAAGTTAGTTGTTGAATGATTACATTGGGCCTACGTCACTATGAGTCTACTTAAAATAAATATCGTAAAAAAATATACATAGTTATTTTGACTATAGACTTCTATACAACGAATGTCATACGGAATGAATATCTTGACGTTTGTTAAATTTAAATAAAACACTTCTAACGGGATCCTTGGTGTAATCGTAGCAGTGCAAAGTACGATTAATCTCGAAAAAGGTCAAACTTATGCTCAAATTTCCAATCTAATAATCTAACGTTAGCAATGTATGGCTAGCAATCAACGGGTAGATTCGATCCCCATTGGGTCAAACATATTACTAATACATTTATATTTTTACTGAAACATCGTCTAGAAATCTAAATACTAAATGGATGGTAGGAAATTAAAAATTCCGTCCGGGTCACGAACCACCGTCCACAGATGAAACAGCCGTCAAGTTTATACGAATCGCGTTTCGGTTTCAATTCGCGCATTTCCGAATATCCAAAGCCAAATAAGGTCGACAGCGCATCTTGTTTAGAACAGTTAGTTGGTTTACATGGTTGTGGTATTTCGCCTTCCATCAATTGGACCCGACAGATGCTTTGCAGCAGCCGCGGTCACGGGAGATAAAGTGTTTTATTTAAATGTGAACATTAACTACAGACGATAAGTATATTTTGTATGAGTTGGACAGTTGGAAAAACTGTAAAATTTGAATACCCTTATATCTAAACATCTAAACACCATTGATCAACTGAAATGAATAGCCAAACGCGTGCGTTTCCCATCGTTTATCTTGTGCCAATGCCTCACCCACCTTTCACAAGTAGCACGAACAAAGTATTAAAATTTTTCCCCGGAATTCAAACTAGTACCTCTCGCGTTTATTGCAAGGCACCGAGTTTATAAATGAGCCACTGTACTTACAATCTTAACATACCTAAGGCGCAATAAATGTTAACACTTTCAAACTCATACTACTCATATCAATGGATTATGGTATTACAATACGCGACTCTTATTCTAGAACACGAGAGAAACATATAACTATAAAATATTATTATAGGTATCAGTAGATATATACAAGCGATTACTAAAATTGTTATTAGGTTCTATATTTTTTATCACTTAAGATATTTTAATGTATTGTGACGTAGTTAATAGCGCACTTTTTTGTAACTACGTCACAATCAGACAACAACATACAAATCTCTCTCTGATTGAATTTATCTAGAAGTAGTTATTTAGACTTCTGTTGTATGTTAGATAGAAAATAAATTTTGATCGCTCGGTATGTGAATCTTGGTCCTTTCACAAAAACATAGGACAGACAAACACGTGGTTCGCTTGAACAAAGGTGAAAACACCAAATAACAGTGAAACAAGGTGTACTGTCGACCTATTTTGACTTTGGATATTCGGAAACCTACTTCGCTTCGTGCTCAAAGTAAATTTTTGAAGTAAGACAAGAATTAGAATTATTTATACCGTATGTCGTTATTAAATAATGATGGATGATATTACACGGCATTGTATGTTGATTAAATTTACTCAAACCTCGTTTTGTTTTTAGAACCTAATAACTATATAAAAACTTATAACTTACAAAGCATTTAGCGTATGTATGTATATCACTCAGTGGTATCTTAAAACATATTACTAAACAGTATGGTAGTTTTTGAATTTCATTAACTGGGACCCAATTCTGAAATTTACAAAGCTTGTATGTACCATTTTCTTACAGGCAATGTTTACACAATAGAAACAAATTTACAGACGGAAAACCTCTACTTTTCATATCCTGTTCGTAAAATTCAATTGACTTTTCAACTTACTTAGAATCATCACATTGACTTACTTCTTTTTATTATTTATGAGTATTATCTTCTTCTCTTTGTAACTGAATTAATAGCATAGCGCTTTCTTTCTGTATTTTTTTTTTGTAGATACTTTTGACTCACGTCCATAACAATTGTAATTGTATAAATGGATTAGCTTTATTTAATAAATAGAAAAGATATTTTTTATTGCTAAATGTCTCACTTAGATGAGTAGTTAGACCCTAAGGCCTAGCAGTATTGGGTGCCCAGTTAATTATCGTACATTCAGTGCAACCTATATGTACGATATACGCAATGCTTATTGTATTTAACAAACCGACTTCAAAAAAGTTCTCAATCGTATGACTCCGGTAGAGCTTTATCGAAATTGATTTAGCGATTTATAAGAAAATTAAATTGTACTAACTCGTACCTTTAGTAGTAAGGTTTTGCCAATTCGTCAAGTTTTCGTGTTTATGTGTCCAAAATTATTATGAAGTCGGTTTTAGATTTATTACAATTTAAACCATTAAATTACACTGACAATTATTTGTAACAAATAAATATTTACTTCACCGGTCGAGTTCTGGTAGTGACGTAAAGCTTTGAATTTTCTTTTAAAATCAGGTGTTAAAAGAAATAAATTTTAAAAATAAAAATTATCTTTCATTAACATTTAATGTTTTGTCTAAAACCCCAAATAAAACAGATTTTTATACATATAAACTAACCTCATTTTAATTATCACCATATTATCATTATCTTGGTTAATATTTGATAAATAATTAAAAGACCAAGGCGAATACTTTACAGGTGTAGAATTGGTCAATAAATCGAGTTCAAATGATCACTTAATATCTAATAACTTCGACAAAAACATTTCAAAGTCTCTAAACGGCTGAGCTAATTTTGATAAAGTTTTTGTTTTATAATAGGCTGCAAAGGCAGGGGTTAGAATACCCACGCTTATTTAATTATTCGACAAAATAACCCAAATAATTTAAAAGATATATTGCTGTGAAGGTTGCTCAACCCTTCTAAGCCGTTCAAAAACTAATAATATAGTGTCGAGTCAATTGTTTATAATTAATTATTTGTGACATTTGGAACATGAATAAGTCTAAGATAAAGGCAGCTAGCTCTTAAACACCACAGAATTAGGCCTAAATATATTCATATTTTTGTAACCGATAAAACTAATCTCATTTATATAAACATTCATACGTGTTGGTAACATATATTTGTCTCGTTTCCTCAAATACCAATGATATGTGTTCGAAAGAGACAGACAGTAGGTTAGGTTAAGTAGACAAAAGTGATTTAATTCTTCCGATATTATTAAAATAATTTGTCTCGTTTCCTAGGATACAAATAGAACTGTGTCCGAAAGAGACAAGACTACTTGAATAAGAGCAATTTTGAGACCTCCTTTCACGTAGAATTAAATTTTTAAGTATTATGTTCTAATGCAACTGGAATGTATATTATATATATAATGTCGTATATATAAACACCTTGTTTTTCAATGTAAAAAAAAGCCAAGAAATTATATAAGACTTGAAGCCTTATTTAGTTTGTGAAAAGTTTTTTAATCTGTGAAAAGGACAAATAAGAGGTTGATGGAAGGTGACCTGAAAGTTGATGAAGAACCTGAGTCATATAACATCACAACAAAATGTGTAAATGTATAATTTTACATTATATTCTCCCATATTTGTTTTTTACTTATCCGAAAAATGTTAAGTGTAGTGCATAACCAAAATCCAAGTCTAAAATATGTTTTTTAAGTTAAATAAATATGGATCAATAAGATAAATGACTCACCAATGCTTAGTCTATAGATTAAATAGTTCTTAGTCGTGGTTGTAAAAACATTATAAAAATACGTAGTGGCTAACTGCCTTACTTAAAAACAGAGGGGTATACTTTGTGTAGAATAGGATGACAATTTTGACAGGTCGCGATATAGGGAAGCGTGAATGTTTACTTAAAACAACGAAACGCTTTTAAACAGATTGTTATCGATATTCAAGGCACTTTACCGTTAGTAAATATAGTAATACATTATCTGTAGAATTTATCGAAGACAATTCAATAACCCCCTCTGACGTAACTGTGAAAATATCATCGTATATTAGACAAGGTATCTGTTATTGCACAAGTAAAAATACCTGATTAAAATTTAAAATTTTACAGCGTGGCTAGAATCCATGGCCCGCTAATATCGTTCACTTCCACTCTAAAATAAGTGTTAAATTCATTTAAAAAATGTGTATGTGTGTTGTGTGTGCAAATAACACCTTTTCACGTGTTTATAAGTAAGGCAGTTAATATTCAGAATAGATGTGAAAAATTTGTAGTCACGAAAACCAATATTAGTATAGTAAGTTTAAATCCCTTAGAATTATTGAAAGGCGAAATAATTACTACCTTTGTACATGAATAAAATACGCAATGTCGTCTATATTTTTTGTACCTGTCTATGGTCGGTATACGGTTGTTTCAAAACAGATGTATGAATATTTCAAAAACTATAAAACTGTAACAAAAACTCTTTGGTATCTAAATAAATGCCGTTTTAACTTCTACAATACTGAAATTTTATTTAATCAAAACTTGGACTACAAGTTCCATGTACAGCGTGGGATTAAATAAACACCCACCATGAGAGATCATAAAATAACTATTGTCAACTAACTAAGCGTTACATAGGCTTCACAATAAACGGAACCAGCGAGGATTCATAAAATTCAATCATTCTTATTGGTATAGCAGTGTTTAAAAGATAAGGAAATCCAGGATTCAATGCCCGGAGAAAACAGAAAACGGTTTAAAAAGTGTAAATAAATATAATAAACCCCCGACCACGGCTGCTGAAAAGCATCCGAAACGTCGGGTGGTTTAAATTAACTATATATATTTCACCTTTCAAACCGTTAATGTAGTTTTATTACAATTGGTACTCGTTTACTGCTGAATAAGAAAACAAATCAAATGTTTTATATAGCCCGGTCTGTCTCGAAACAGTATTAGAAGTAGATGACTCATATGTTTGTTTTGAAACAACCCAATAACACGTATCACGTCCCATAGGTTTCTACGCATGGAAGATCTTGATTTTATCCCGATTATTTACCAATAATTAATATTAAACAAATCGCGCTGGTACAACTAATATAATCCTTCTAATGTATGCTCAACATTTAATAGCTATTATCAACAGCTTCTCTAATTTAAGTTAAAGATAATTACATTAAGTATTTCTGTTAATCTAATGTTCTGTTAATAATAATGGGGAAATGTAAAAATATATGTGGGACCACTATGCTTCTACGCTTGGGTTCTAGGGGATAAACAGCCTGCAATGTTTAAGTGTTTATTTTCAATGTTAGACGATGTTTATGTTTTACGTCGCGTTTTAATCCGTTCGTTTTCTTTAAACCTTTTGGTGGATTGAAACCAACCTTTATGTCTGCACTAACACTTCGAGCAAAGCAGTAGAAAACATTTATATGTACATTACACTGCAAAACTGTTTCAAATTTAAACGTTACGATTACTTGCATTAAATATTATTATAGATATTTCACTAAGCCACTTATCGCTTGTACTGCATATACCATACAAATATCATTAAGCTATTATTATGAATTTAACACTGCTTTAAGTAAAGACCTAAGAGTAACATGAGATCGTTTAATTGTTCCTAACCATTATTATCTGTAGAATTCCATTATTAATTAATAAAAATGTTTTTAAATTTAAAGAGTTAATAAATTATTACCTTCATTGATGAAAATATGATAAAAAAGGTAAACGCTACCGTCAGTTATAAAATAATATCAAATACATATTTATATGTAATTAAAAAATATGTTGAATATGGTAAACACTTACATATAAGTATAAAACTTCTATATTATATTATGCCCGGTTTTCAGGACTCTCCGAAAATAAAACAAAGTCTGTTAAAAAGGATTGTTAAGTAGAGCAACGTTTTAGGTAGTTGGCTATCTGTGTAATAGGATAATGTTGTCGCTAAATTAACCGAAAAAATAATGCGAAGAGTTGAAAATCTCCAATAATCAATAGCCAAATTTGAACTCTTGTTTCTGTCGTGTTATTAAAATTTGTGGCCCGTGTATATGTAAATATATACTTTAATTACACCAATAGCACGAAACGACAAGCCGTGCGACAAGTGTACGTTCACCCTTACGACCGCGCCGTCGATATTTTTGGGTCAGGATAACCCGTCAGCCAATCACCAAATACAAAATTAATTATTGCTTCATTCAAAATTATTCACTTAAATTATCGTTATAATATACACCGATCCATAAAAATATAATAAATATTAACCGTTAACTAAGGACGAAAAATAACCTTGAACTTGAAATATTTCTATACCCATATTGTATAATAATTCTATTCTTAACCTATATCATTCACTACCAAACGTCAATCTCATTTTGGTCATTCAATCGTTCGCAGTACAAATAAATTTTAAATAGCGCGTACTTATATAGAATTTAGCAAAAAGCAGTCTATAGTATTTTCACTGTTACAAATGTAGTATGTAAGTTTGTTTTAATTCTGTAGATCTTGTAAGAATCGGTTTTAGAAATTAAATCGATTTATTTTCGATACAATACCAATGTCATTGTAAACAATAAAATTTCTGTTGTCAGAATAATCGATTATTAAAACAATCAATTTATTTAAGAGGGAACCAGACCAAAACAAAACATTTGCGATATTTCGAATGACCATAGCGGAACGGTAATATTTCAATTGTACCTATGTGGGTGGCCGCCGCTTGTCGTGTCGTACGCGCCGCAATTTTTTTACGTTAATATACCGGCAACTCGTGGTTCCATCACGTACGTAGGAAAATGTGCGATCACCTTTAACCCTGCGAGAGGCTTTACGGCCAAGAAGATAACGTATTATGCATACATACAGTGATAATACTATAGACGCTTAATTTTTTACAGTTCAATAAATAGTGCAGTCAAATAAGAAAATATAATGTCCAAAATGAAATATTCCTAAGTGTTGTCATAAATATTAAAATTAGACACTATACAAATAGCTCTCTAGTTTGGTTTTAGGCGAAGGCTGCGTGAACGGTGAGAACCAAAGAATTGAAAAACGTCCAAATACCGACTGTATACTCTTCCAACGAGATTTGCGGATCCAGCGCGCTTGCTCCTTCTTTAGTTGTTCAATGCCCTGGAAATTAAATTAGAGTTGATTTATAAAAATGCCGAGCACAGAAGTCTGAAGAGATCTGTAAATGTGTCTCAAACCCGCTTAGAGAAAATAACGTTTCACATACAGCATTTGTAATCACTGCCCCCATGGTTTAGTCCATCATGGGTGGATGGGTAGATCAAGAGCAACAATAGAGGTGGCAGGAGGTAAAAGTAATGGATATGCAATATTAGGAAGTAGACGGGTATAAAGATAGCTGAGACACTGCTACATTTTACATGGCTCCAGAGATTTTCAATATGGCCCTATATGTAGGCAGTGAAAGAAGAAGAAGACAAGCATCTCACCGTCTCATCATTCCATATGGCGTGCAGCTGCGTGCCGAGCATCACCGCGGTGAAAATAGCGAAGAGCAGCGCCTCAGCTATCAAGAACAGCAGCAGAACCACTGTTGCTGGGGGCGAATACGTGCTGCACTCGCGCCACTCGTGTCGGATGCACGTCACAAACTGGTACACGGATAGCGTCAGCGAGTGAATCGATATGGCAGCTATGTAGAACTGGAAATCGGACAATAGGTTATGAAGTCTAACTAATCTAGAAAAGCGGAAAACAATATTAAAAAAATCGCAATGATTCTGCATTTCCATTTATGATCACAAGCTGTGCCCGCGACTTCGTCTGCGTGAAATAGTGACTTGAGGTAGAATTTTTAATTATTGAGGCTGTTTATTAATTTATGTAAGGGCGCATTTAGGGTAGCCAATCTATGGTAAGTGCTCCTATGCCGCAACACTTCACATCATTCCTACTCCAACTCCCAGTCTCATTCCTACACTCCCATGCCCACGCCCACCCCTACTCCCACTCCTATTCCCAAAAAGCCAAAGAAGAAAGTTTCATTGTTCTAGCTTCAAAAACCACGAATTTCCATACAAACTTTCATCCCCCTTAGGCGTATAAGCGTCCTGCCTTTCTTTCTTCAAATTAATGAATTATTGTTAGTCCTCCAGCATAATAGCGCAGCACGACCGAAAAGAAATGGGCAAGATAATGAAAATTCTTTAACATCCTCTTTTTTATACTTTTCAAGTTAAATCACTGAACATAAAACAAACAGTAGGAGGCATGACTAAGACCAAAGAGGGAGAACTACTTGTAAAATTATTTATTAATCTGGCAACAAAATCAGTTAAAACGACGCAGTTAATTATTTGGACAATGCATGAAATCAATTTGGCAAGATTAACTTACCGTAAATAATACAAAATACTTCTGGTTGTTTTCGCCAACGCAATTGTTCACCCATGGGCAGTGGTGGTCCATCTTCCTGATGCACCTCTGGCACACGGAGCAGTGGTGGGCACGCTCCGGCTTGATGCTGCAGCATTTCGTGCACTTGAAGATAACCTGACCCTCGCGGAAGCTCATCTGTTTAATCATTTCTTTAGTCGCGTTGCCTTTTGGTACAGCGCCCTGTAAATCGGAATTATTACATACAAGGCTGATCTCGGTTCAACGTCAAGTACCGGACACTTTTGTATAGTTTTACAATTGTTATTAACACCGAACTAGAACTGAAAGTGGAGAAGATTCTCAAAATTATACGATGAAGGAATGACAAACTAAATGTCTTTCGGAGTATAACACAAAATGTTTGTTGACTAATAAAGTTTTAAGATGTTCCAATAAAAAAACTGATTTTGTGTGCGTGTTAATGTGTGAAGAAGTATTCTTAGTAAAACTGAAATAGTTTACTTAAACGCTTATTATGAATATTTTAGGAAACTTTTCAATCATAAGCTTTCTAATCTAAAAGGGGTTAAATAATGTTACAGTTAAAACTCATATGGTCATATTATAGCAAAAATTCTATAGTTACTTATTTTAAAATCATAAGTTAAAAATCTATACAACGGCTATGTCAAGATCAAGGATGTACTATCTTTGCATTATATAATTGCAGATATGCAAATGAATGAAATCTCTGATTTAATCTGGTTTACTTCTTTACGGCTTAGCTAAGATATTTAAAGCCTTATTGAAGTAAATGTGTGGAATAACTCAGGCTACACCATTTCCATGACTCAATTAACTTGAATATTTTAGTATGTGTTCTCGTCAACTCGATAAGCAATGCATCAAATATGAATAATTCTTAAATTTTTTATAATTAGAACTTAATTGCTTTGAATAAAAATAATTCTATTATAATAGTTATAATTATAAATATCACAGACAAATAAAAATGTAAAGTTCGGTCCAATATTTAAAGTCTTCATGATTGGATCACTTTTGAAAATAATTGTGTAATGTTTGCCATATTGTTACTAATATTTTATTACAAAAATATGTTTGTAGGTAAAAATACATTCTAGGAAAAAAGAGTTGTACAAATATTTTTTATCTATTGTATAATATATCATATTTAATTTAATTATGATGTGACAGAAGCTCGTAAGAACAGTAGTCAATTTACCAAATTGAGTTAAAAGTTTGTAGTCTGGCACCCACTAAACATTTGTTTTAATGAAAATTGTTTAGCATTAGAAAATAAAACTCACTGGATCAGTAAACATGGTCCTAAGGTGTGAGGCAAAAGCGAGAAATGCAAATGTCTGGAAAATAATGATGTTGATATAGCTGTAAAGTGGGTATGTGGCCACTCCTGGCAGAAGCATCACCATCATCACCACAAATTCTGCATACAGGATGAGAAGCCATGTTAACACCGCACATATAATGCCGCATATGTCCTGTAAACAATGTTATGGGTAATTACTGAATGTGTAAATTATTAATTTTGTAGAGTGATATCTATAATGGCTAATATTCCATTACACTTACTCGAATACACCAGGCCTTGCCCCCGCAACACCGATTGTGCATATCACGATCAGGTCTCGTTAGAACCAGACATTCTGGATCTACCTGATACTGGCTTTCCATTTCATCTTCATCTGTACTATCATAGAACTCTCGTATCATTTAGATAATTTTATTGATTCCTGAAATTACAACAATCACATATATTTATATAAATGTAATTTGCTTAAGGTAAAGTAAGCCTGTATAAACAGTATGCCCTGTATTAATAATTTTACTCTGCAAATTGCCCTTGTAAGATTTGCTGTGCTCGAGAAATTTCAATATATATAAATATTCTTGGGTGGTTTTGCATTCAAATGTTTTGTTTATGCATAAAATAATTTTTAAAATTGTGAGAACACACAAAAGTTGACAACAGATATAATAAAAAATCTACAGCATTCTGTAAAAAGATGAAATTGCCTCGCCAACATTTTATATTTTATTTATGTTGCATAATTTCTATCTGTGAATTGGTAATTACTACCTAAGTTATTATTGACATATAAACTCAAAAGTTTTTTGAATAGGTGGCTTAAGACGAAAACATTATGAATGGTAGAGTCATTAATGTTACAAAGAAATATTAATGCAGAAGCATTGAAATAATTTAAGTTCTTTAAAACCTAAGTTACTTTCAGTACATTAAAAGGCGCTCTAAACCCACAAATCTTTTAAGCTGAAAATCATCAATGGTTTTAACGTAGTTGTTTAAGAAACAAAAATAAAAGTCGCAATATTCTTTCGCTACGGCAAACGCTGAGAAGTAGTGGTAGTAATATCGAAAATCAATAAAAATAAAGTATCACGCGTAGCGCTATTAATAGTAAATATAATTAAGCAGAGCCAGGGAAACTAATAAGAAATATACATACTAAACATTTACGCACCTCAAATACCGGAAAATACGTCAGATTCTGTTTTTAAAGGGTCAGGGTTTGGTCACACAAAGTTTAGCAACTTTCATATTTTGGTTTCTTTAGTTCAAAGTTACACGCAGAGGGAAAGCCGCAAATATTAGATCAATGATCCACAAGTTGCACTATGTTCATTCTATTCTATACTTCTATAATGCGAGAACGTTCAAAATCAATAGGTAATGGTACATGTATCAAAATTGCTTCGCTAATTCGCTTGCGCTATTTCCCTCAACGCACTCGGCTATCGGCACACATTTTACTTGTTGACAGCTTTTTACGTCAGTGTCAAGCTTTGTCAAATATTCTCGTTACCACAGATATTAATTCTGCAAGTATCTATAGACAATATATTGTTAACCTTTTTGAAAATTTTAGATAATATTTTCCTTATGCAAATAAGGAAAATATTATATCGTAGATACTTTCCACTTCTTAACAAAGAGTATATTTCTTTGTTATTGTTGTCTGGTTGTAAAATAAAATATGAACATTATATATATATATTCTTTTAAGTGGATTGTGTACCTTAATATTTTGTGATGGACGAATGGAATTTTGGATGGAGGATCAACTTTGTTTGACGTCTTTTTCCAGTCACAAATATTTTTAGCATTTTTCTAAATTAAAAAATCTTTTTTGCACTTTGCATAGTGTTTCTAAACGACTTCCAACCTGGCCCGAACGTTTGTCAAATCATTGTGACGCAACAGATACAGCTGTCAGAATTGACGTCAAAGAATTTGAAATGATGAATTTTTGAATATGTTTTTAATTATTGATTTTAGTTTTTCTGAATGAAGTGTTGCACCTTAACAAGTGTCCGCAGTGAAGTGCTACCGGGCCATCATAGTTAATAAACTTATATCAATTTTTTCTCCTAATCGAAACATTGTTAAAACTCTTCAAAATGCCTCCAGTAAGTCATAGTTTATTATTAATATATAAACAATTATGAACTAATTAGAAATATGCTTAATAGGCATAATCCAATACTGTTAAATATATGGGCATAATCAAAATTTATGTTACACAACTAGTAAACACCTTATCATCGAATATTTCTAATAACCTAAACAAGTAAAAGAGAGAATATTTTTTTAATAAATACGCCCTTAGGTCTAAGTCCTAGGACGTTAAACATTGTTGTAATAATAACCTGACTAATTGGGATTCATTTATTACAATCTTTTGAATGCTAATGATCTAGTATTTCAAGTCTATGTAGTTATTACCTAACTGCTCAAGAAAGTACACAAATGCATCATGCATAATGAATAATGTAATTTTGTCTTGTTATTTAATTCTAAAAATGATATTTGTACTTTAGGGCTGTGTATTTTTTCTTGTAACAATATATTACCTAATTTATTAAAAAGTCCATATATTTTCTCATAAAAGAGAAAGGGACCTTATTTTAAGTCAAGCTCAGCAAATGAAATTGTCCTTATAAATTAGCAGTAAAGCAATACAATGTAATAGAAAAAGTAGAATATATGTTGTGCCAACTGAACAAAAATATTTTATATAATGAAATCATCAAATGTCTATAATGGCCTTTCTCATATCTTGCTAGATAAATCTGTTTTTTTTAAGATATGCTTGCGACACACCTAATTCCAACTCTCTACATATTATGCTATCATAGTTAATAATTACTTTTTAAGAAAAGACTGCTGTTCTATCATTGAAAATAAAAATACACCTAAGAAAAAACAATTAATACTATTTTCAATGACTTATATTAGTTTTTATGTAAGCCTTCAAACATTTAGAAAAAAAAATTTTTTTCATTAGGAAAAAACGACATGCCTACTTGTTTTACGCATTGTAAGCAATTGCACCTTATGATAACAAAAAGACAGGTCTTTTATATTGAAACCCCTTTGCTTCATTCATTTATTATATTAAGTACCAATGCCTAATTTATTATTGGTTATGTCTTTGCTATGTAAAGATAGAATTAGACTTTTTTTCTTTTCAGCAACCCAAGAAAGCACCAACAAAAGGTGCCAAACAGATCCTAGTTGAAAATGAAGCAACAATAAGCTTTTATAGGAATATGGCTGGAGCGTCAGGTCTTTTTTACAATTGTGTTATGTTTGGCATTTATCATGATGATATAAAGTCTTGGCTTATAGTAAGTATTTTTTATTATTCATATTTAAAATATTGTACAGATCAAACAGTGTTTTTATGTGTGTAAAATGAGCACACTGAACACAGGCAGACATATTTCAGTGTCTGATATAATAGTGTTTTATTTTTCTTCATTACCGATTGCCTCTTATAGCGTGAAAAAACAAGTGAACCCTCTAACCAATTGTTATTTACTTTCTACCAACACATGTACTTTGAAATGATCTTCTTAATTTCCAGTTTATGAATGTGGTGGTGATGGTCATATATGTTGTGTGCTATCAAATGATGAAGTACATCAGTCGGCCGACATATACAGACCAGGGCCAACTTATAGACCCAGGTTTGGATCTGAACATGGAGGGTGGAATGGGAGAGTATGTTAATTTTATTTAATTATATTATGAAGTAAAAAGTTTGACTTTGGACTTCAGACATTCTAATTTCTTTTACATTTCTAATGGCTTTACTAATTTTAATTAATTTTCAATTCAAACTAGTAGTTCCTGAGATTAGTGCGTTTAAACAAACAAACAAACTCTTTAACTTTATAATATTGTTATAGAGTAGGATCAAATTTTGGTATCTTCTTATTCTATTCTATTTTCTTATACATAAGTTAGCCAAATTTCAGCTCAGGGCTAAACATATATTTCCAAATATTGACGAAGCTCGTTATGCAAATTATAATAGTTTATTAATTTATAAATACTTCTTTCAGGCATGTCAAGGATATTATAATTCTCACTTCGATCGCGCACATCACAGCCGTTATGTCGAACTACTTCTGGCTCCTTCTGCTGTTGATTCCGATCCGGGCGTTCTGGCTTCTATGGAAGAACGTGTTAGGACCCTGGTTCTTCCAAGAAGCGCCCGAGGACACCGAACAAGATGAGAAAAAACGAAAGAAAATGGAGCGTCGGATGAGACGTCATCAGTGAATTGTGGATAAAGATAAGCCTAAGCATTCACCTCTAGTTTGTTGTTTACTATTATTTTTCTAAACTTATAGTCAAATTGGTCTGATGTTTTAATATGGTTAAAAAACATTAATATTACAAAAATTTGAAACTTTCTTCAAAATATTTCCTGTTACTAAAAGCTATATTTGTCATGTTATCATTAACTATTTAATTTACAACAAAGATAGATCAAGAAAGTTGTGTCACAGTTGAATCTACCCGACAAGGGGCAATTCTCAGTTAAGTGATATCTAACACCGATTTTGTTATTCATTGCAGGTGTTATATAAATCTATAACTCGTGTCTTATGTAGATGCTAATCTTATATTGCCTTTTAAAGAAATCCAAATACAAGACTGTATCTGTAGGAAATTAAATTTTACTACACATACATATAGTATAGTTAGTTAATATATTTACAGTTAATAAATAATGTTCAAACGGGTTTTTATCACTTTTCAAACTATAAGGAGCCATCTATAAAGTATTTCAACACGAATTTGAAACTAGTAACAGGAAGAATAGGGGCCTCTTCCTTAGCATGTCTACATATTTTAAAAATTAATTTTAAAATTATTATATGGTTTTGAATCTAGGCGTCCAAAATTTCGTTCATGATTGTAAAATTAATATATTCTTTAAATTCTCCTTGGTTTAATGATAACGATGTACGAAAAATCAATGGGTCCCGATTTCCATTCTTACCAGGATCGACATTTTAAGCCTTAAGTCGACAGCGCATCTAGATCCTACTGGCTTGGCTATTTCACCCTCCATCAAGAGAAACTTGTCTGTCCGCCGTTGTCATAAGAAAAAAGCACAATAATCAATAACGCCTCCCACTTATCACATTATGAAATCTTCTTTCTGTTTAAATGTTTGACTTATCTTATAGATGGGCCGAAGTCGTTTTGCATCCAAAACTATTTAAAGTTCTGTTCTGTTGTGTCAGTTTTTGTTATAATAGCAGCGAAGTACAGCGATAATTCTAGGATTAGAAAGAGCTTCCCCAAATATTTAATAACTCAGTATAACTGGTAATATTGCAACTGTAATTAATGTTTCTGCGTCCAGACTTATTCGCAACAACTTTCCGAATTTCCAAAATTACAAAGACCTCTCATTTTCCATAATGTTACGGGTCAAAGATGGACATTACAAAATATTTTTTCTCTGTTATTTCATTTGTTGTTTAGTATTTTTGGTTACAGTAAGGCGAATTTAAAAATACTTTTTTTAATGAATTGGCTTTTGTAAATGAATTATTTAACCCAGAACTATATTTCTCTATTAGGTGTAGGGTTCCTAAGTAATAATGCATATAGGTGTAGTTTTATATATAAAGATCTTGTGGATGTATACAACTTAGTTTAAGTGGCTCCGGTTTAATATTTTGTACGTTCTCTACATAGGTACGCATTAAAATCTCTACGCAAATATATTTTTCACACATACGGCGATTTCTGCCTTACTAAAAATACTTAATTAGATATATAGTGAAAATCTTTGAAACTAGTATTAATCGTTTAGTGTATCTACTTTTTACATAACATACTTACTCCTAGAAAAAGTGTATGTAACTTAAGCCTTACATTTACACTGTCCAAACTGTGTCAATTGTTTTTTGGTTCAATCTTTTATTTGTTTCTGGCTTATATTACACTCCGTTTAGAGTCACTATTGTGATTAACGAATAAAAAATACATCTATAAACTATAAGCAAAAGTTAAAGGTATGTACATCAAGAAATGTTGAATGGTTTAAATTGCAATGAAATACATAAATTAGTGTATATCTAAATTAAATGAAATGTTTATAAAATCAATTAGTATTGTAATGTTTTGTATGAAAAATTCAATGTTATTGTAAATAAACACAACACAAAACAAGTGTTATTGATTTTTCTTTTTTACTAAACAGAAAGATGTAAGGGTTGTGTTCAGTGTACAATTTGTTTCGTATTTGGGGGCATAGATGGCGCTGAAAACAAAGATAATAAAATACTAAAATATTACTTTCATATGTGCGGTACGGTCGCCTCCTCAATTTTTTAATAGTTGATTTATATTTATTTTTTGTTGGGAAAGTGACAAGATCGGGGTTAACTTGACTTCTCACTTCAACTCAACAAGACATATCGACCTACTTTGGGTTTGAATAATAAGAAATCCACGGACTGAACCGATACTCCGATTTTCACATCTATTTCGAAATGGTGGTTAGTGACCGGGACGGAGTATTATTTCTACCACTCTTATAATATCCACACTTTCGGACGAAGTCCAATAGAAAATTTTTAAAAATATTGGAAATGTGTTGTACCCGATGGAGATACCCACGAGCCACCCACCAGCGGGTGGAGGGTGGCGGGTGGTCATTTGCCATACATTAGTATATTAAGAGCAATTAGCTCATAGCTAATTTTAGTCGGATCGGCCATAACGGTCTTATCTATAGGGAAATAAATATAAGGTAAGGAAATGTAAAAAATAATCATTTTATAGCGGATTTTAAGCGAATAAGAATAAGAACTCATTGAACTCAGCACTTAGAAAAAATTTGGGAAAACGAAAATTATTCGATACTTTTAAATAAATAATCTAAAGGTTTTTTAATACGTGTATTATTTATAGTACAGATATTAAATAATACATTATCTAGCTTCCAATTCAGATGTCAAGTGTATAGTACAAAATAGCGATGTTTTATTTAGTCTAAGAGATTTTTTATTACTCAATTATTTCGCTCCGAATTCTGTGATGTAAATGGGCTCTTTTGAAAGCGCATTCAAAAGAGCCAGCCATACACTGTTAGAAATGCATTATTCTAAAAAAAAATATCATAGCTTTGTGTCTTAACTACTACACTACTTACCAACTACCTCTAATGGAAACTAATGGTTAAACATATTTACGATAACTAGCACTATTATTCAAGATATAAAAATACACTTAAACGGTTTAAAACGCAAAATTTGTTCATTAATTATTTATCCAACGTATCACGTACTATACTTTCGTGGCACAACGGTTAAGTGGGTTCGAGCTGGTGCTGGGTTTGTTTCTTGTTGGGCAAGGCGTAAGTGTGATCAACTACTTTTGAGTAGAAAAACAAAGTGAAACAGACAAAGTCCCACAAAAATAATACAGAGTTGTACTCCTAAAGAAAATCATTTGTAAAGAATTAACTTATTTTCAGTGTTGACCACGATAGAACTACAGAAGGGGCGGAAGGTAAGGAAGCGTCACAATAAATAGACTACGTCATCACTACACGCCACGGGGGAAACATAATATTATTAATTTTGTATAGGCAAATGTTCTTTTACCACATTAAGTCTCGATGAAATTTAATACCCATAATGGCGTTTCTTGTGAGGTAATCTTAACAGATGGATATTATCGCAGACGTAATGCGTCGGAGAGGAGTAATTCTTTGTACATATTCTGTGGGTATCTTAAGCCGTCGTCACAGAGCACACAACGCAAATCGTCAAAGAGAGAGAAGAGAAAATTTTTGAAGAAAGATGAAGACAGAATTTCTCCTGTTTTTCCCACATTTTCCTCTATTTCTTCTTTTTTATTGGTCGCAAAGTGATGTGTTATAGCCTAAAGGTCACCTCGTCAATTAGTCCAATAAGTTTTCAATTAAAAAAGAAGTTCTTAAGATTAGCGCGTTCAAACGAATTAACAAACTCTTCAGCTTTATAACACTGGTATAGATATCTGTATTTACCTGTATCACAAGAATGTTATCCTATTTTCCCGTTCCTGGTACTACGCGTGAACACTTCATTGGACTCAGCTAATTAGTAGTCAGGAATTAGTTCAGTGATATGAACGCTGTTGGTATGATTGTTTATGTTTATTATTATTATTATTATTAACACTAGCTGGTGCCCGCGACCTCGTCTAGTCAGGATCGCGCATTTAAACTAAATGATGTCTATCATATCATACATTACAAAATTATGTTTATAATAACGTTTATGGCAGCGCACGCCAGAATAGCTCGCAGAAAGGTAGGTTGTTTTCTAGTTAATTGACACTTAATGTCATATTTGGACAGCTCACACAATATCATTATAAATTGTAGCCTATAGCTTATACATCAGAATAACAATTCTGAAGTATAAGCTATATTATTGGAAAGTTTAATTGAAATCTATTCAGTGGATCAACATCCATCCACACATACAAACTTTCACGTTTATAATATTAGTAGATCTTAAAAAACAAACAATATATATAATAGAACTAAAATGACATGAACTTAAACCATACTATCTTTGGTAACTCAAAATAAACATTAATAATACATTAATGTTTATTTTGAAGGTGAGTTCACCCCAAGGACTGTAAAAAATATCTGTTTTTTCGTGTAATGTTGCCATTCCGTTGCCTGTGTTACAGATTTTTTTCAAAACTATACATCAGCTTAGTACAAGGAGCCGGGCTCGGGGGGCATACAAGTCTATTCATGTCAATTAGTTTGAATTGATGTAAATAAAGTTTAGGGATTTGTGAAATGGGATTGATAATAAACACCCCGTGCCCCTTATGAGGGACGCGTGACACTTGGAGATTCACTTGGTGGAAGGTGAAATAAAAAGGATGCGCGGCCAACGTAAAGAAATCCACAAGGAACTGTTACGAAAACATCAAGATCCGGACGGTATTTCGATATTCCTACTGTCCGTTTAGTATCTATATTCTTCAAACTAAGTTCAACATATCTAAGGAAAATGATAAAGTGATTAGTTACATATTAGATCCCGTGAAGATCAAACCGATAACCCGTTGATTATAAGCAATACATTACTACCAATAGACCGACAAAAATATCGTATTTGCATCTTATATAATATGTACATATATGTATTTGCACCGGAAGCCGGTGGTGGTGAATACCATATAATTACTTATATCAATTTCAACAAAATTGCGAAACGCTTACACCTGGGGCAAGCCAGCGATTT